TTTTTGTATAGCCTGTAAAGCACTAAGGGAGTCTGAGACAACCACAAATGATGACACAGGCATAGATGCAATACGGATAAGTGCTGTAAGGATGGCATATAATTCAGCAGTAAAAATACTAGATGAAGATAGTAAATGCCCTTGTACGACGCTGTCCGGAAACACTGCTGCGAATCCTACGCCGTCAGAAGACTTAGAGCCATCTGTGTACACAGCAATGGCATGAGAATGAGAGTGAAAGTGGTCAAGAAAAAGAGAGCGGGAAGCGACCGTAGACAGTTGGGCTTTCGAGCAAGGGAGGGAGAAAGAACAGACTCGAACAGCTGGAACTTCCCAGGGGGGTAGGGAAAAGTGAGATGCTACATGTACATAGAAAGGTGGTAGTTGAAGAGAAGACAGGAGCGAATGAAGGCGAAGAGAGAAGGGACGGAGTAAGCAGGGGCGGCGAACAAATAAAGAATGTCTACTAATATCAGTGACCATTCTATAAATGGAAGGATTGCGGAGATCATGAGAGCGTACATAGTAGCGCAGGCAATGGGCATCACGGCGATCGGATAAGGATGGAACGTTCGCTTCTGCATAGAGGCTTTCGACAGGGGAAGAGCGAAAAGCACCAAGGCATAAACGTAATCCTTGGTGATGAATGGGGTTAAGGCTAGAGAGAGTAGCAGGAGATGCCGCTGAATAGATCTGGTCACCATAATCAAGTTTCGATAAAATAAGGGTGGAATGTAGGTGAAGGAGGGTTCGACGATCAGCTCCCCACGAAAGATGAGCAAGGGTTTTAAGAAGGTTCAGGCGGCTGTGACAAGTTGCCTTCAGAGAGGTAATGTGAGGTTTCCAGGATAACCTACGATCAAAGAGGAGGCCCAGAAACTTGACTGTATCACGTTCAGGGATACGTGAGCCATAGAGGTACAAAGGATGATCAGAGATGACAGAGCGTCTAGTGAAAGTGATTTGGTGGGTTTTAGTGCTGGAAAATTTAAACCCATGTGTGGTGGCCCAATTGGAAACACGGTCGACTGCATGCTGGAGAGAAACTGTAAGGAGGTGACAGTCAGCGCCTGCGCAGGCAATAGCGAAGTCATCAACATAGAGTGATGACCAAATATTTGATGGAAGACTAGAGGCCAAATCATTAATAGCAAGGAGAAAAAGTGTTGTGCTCAGAACACATCCCTGGGGGACACCTTCAGCTTGGACAAAGTCCGGGGAGAGCACATTATTAACCCGAACACGGAAATGCCTGTCAGTTAAAAAGTTCTTAAGGAAGGATGGTAGATTGCCTCGAAGGCCTAAGGAGTGGGCTTGGGCTAAAATATTATACCTCCAAGTTGTGTCATATGCCTTCTCAAGGTCAAAAAATATGGCAATAACTGAGTGGTTATTCGCAAAGGCATTACGAACATACGTATCCAAGTGCAGTAAGGGGTCTATGGTAGAACGTCCCTTACGAAAGCCATATTGACGAGTGGAGAGACTGTTGTGTGTCTCTAAATACCACACTAAACGTCTATTTACTAGACGTTCCATTACTTTGCAAACTGCACTGGTAAGAGCAATGGGACGATAGTGGGAGGTTTCATGTCCCGTAGTGCCTGGTTTGCGGAAAGGGAGAACAATGGCGGATTTCCACAGCTGTGGAAGAACTCCTTGTGACCAAATAAGATTGTAAAGGCGTAATAGGACTGCAAGGGCTGACTGATGTAAATGTTGTAGCATACGAATATGAATGTCGTCGGGCCCAGCTGCCGATGATCGACAAGCTGAGAGTGTTGCCTCCAGTTCTTGAAGTGTAAAAGGCACATTATACTGTTCTTCTCTGAGAGAAGAAAAGTCCAAGGGTGCTAACTCTCTGGCAGACTTTGAGGAAAGAAATGAGGGGCATAGATGGAGTCCCTGAGAAATACGGACCAGATGATTGCCAATTTCATTGGCAACATCTAGTGGGTTTGCTATATCAACACCGGCAACCCGCAGAACAGGAGCCGGGTCAAGAGAATATTTACCACTCAGTTTTCGTACTTTTTTCCAGACTGCACTCATAGAGGAAGCAGAGGTGATGGTGGAGACATAATCTCGCCAGCAAGTGCGTTTAGCGTCACGGATGACACGGCGAGCGATCGCACGCTTCTGTTTAAAATCAAGGAGTCGCTCTGTGGTTCTATTGTACCGGTACCTGCCCCATGCAGCGCGCTTCAAACGTACTGCACGAGCACACGCAGGAGACCACCAAGGCACGCATTTCTGAGAATGCCTGCCCGAAGTTTGGGGTATAGAATGAGAAGCTGCGGTGAAAACGGAGGACGAGAAGAGGTGTAAAAGCTCATCGATGGAGGACGAAGAAGGAACCTCTTTAAAAACAGTCAGGTGTGAGTAAAGGTTCCAATTTGCCCGATTAAATTGCCAGCGTGGGGTGCGAAGAGGTGGCGAATATGAAGGGGAAGTAAGAATGATTGGGAAATGATCACTGTCATGTAAGTCCGGGAGAACAGACCAAGTAAAGTCCAATGCGGCGGAGGAAGAGCAAACTGAGAGATCGATGCAAGAGAGAGTATGAGTCCGAGGATCAAAATGGGTGTGAGTACCTGTATTTAAAACATGGAGGGGGTGGGTGGCAAGAAAAGCCTCTAACTGAATTCCACGGGAATCACAGTGAGACCCTCCCCAGAGGAAATGGTGGGCATTAAAATCACCAAGTAACAGAATCGGTGGCGGTAATGACGAAACAAGGAAGGCAAAATCCGGAATAGATAATGCCCGAGAAGGAGAGAGATATAAAGAACAGAGCGTATACCACCTATGTAAGTGGAATCGGGCTGCTGTGTAATGCAGCGAAGTATGAATAAATAGCTGATGGTACGGAATATCAGTGCGGAGAAGAAGGGCACTTTCATTAAAGGTCCCATCAGGAAAGGATCTGAAGAATACAATAAATTATAGCCTGAGATGTGAGAAATAACAGCAGAGTGTATTTTTGGTTCCTGTAAGCAAACACCAACAGGGGCAAACTGGGAGAGTAACATCTGAAGCTCACCCGATTACCCCTGAGGCCGCGTATATTCCACTGTAAAAAGGCCATGATTGGCAATGATAAAGATACTTGAAATCCGCAGGTAAGGGTTCCTACGGACTAGAAGGGTTAGAAAAGTCCACATGCGGAGGCAGTGGAAAATGTTCAAGCAGCGAAGGAACGGTGCGCTGTGAAGAAAGGAGTTGCGCAGATGGAGCAGAGGAGAGAGAAAGAGCGGAAGGTGGATCAGTGTCCATTGATGGTTTGGTCTCTGCAATATATTCAGAGATTGCTTCAAGTGTTTCGGAATTCAGAGATGTCGTATGGGAGACAATATTGGGAATGGTAGGGGGAGGTGAGTAAAGATTGGAACTGTATTGGACTGTACCAAGGTAGGGGGGGGCGAAGGGTGGAGGGAACTGGAGAAGCGTGGGAGGGGACAGAAGAGACAGGAACCTGGGAGGTGGCAGAAGAGGAAGAAACTTGGAGGGAACAGGGGAGGAAGGTACATTACGAGGAGGAGGTGAACCTCTGCACTTGTAACTGAGCCAGTGAGAGGGGAAGAAACTAGGGACAGAGACAGGGAGGGTAAAATGAGGGGTGGAAGATGGGTAGGAGGTGTTACCGGACCTTTTTTTGACTTTTGAGAAGTAGAGGGACGATTGGGAAGAGGTGTCGTACGAGGTCTCGTCGATACTGAGGCTTGTAAGAGAGAACTCGAAGAAGCGAGATTAGACTGAGGCGTTGAAGTAGGGACGTCTGAGCCGAGGACAGCAAAAGGATTAGATACAGGAGTGATTATGGGAGAGGTAACCACAGAGGTGGGTGTAGAAGATGGGATACCAGAAGTGGGGGACGTTTTGAAACACGGGAATAAGAAACACGTGGGAGTCTCCCTTGGAGGCGGAGATGAGAAACTGCCATGGCATAAGGGAGACCTTCTGTCTCTTTGAGGTAACGGATTTCCCGCTCGTTTAAATAGACCTGACAACGGCGAGAGTACGAAGGGTGAGCCTCATGACAGTTAAGGCAAGAGGGAGATCGATTGCAAGACGTATTAGAATGGTCATCGGCACCACAGACTGGGCATTCGGCGATAGATCTGCAATATTTCGCTGGATGGCCAAATCGCCAGCAATTTCTACACTGTTGTGGTGTAGGGATCACCTTTCGAACTTGTAAACCGATGTCCTGCTATATAAACGGAGGATGGAGTTCTCGGCTGTCAAAAGTTAAACGAGCCACATTGCTAGGGTATCGTCTCCGCCCACGGGCAGGAAGAACGTAAGTGTCTACCTTGAGGATTGGGAGATCTTGGAGTTCCAGCTGTTCTAGAATGTCGGTGCCACATGTCTGGAAATTTTGTTGAACTATGGTATGGGGCAGAATAACGGTACCACTACAAGAATTGAGGGAATGATGTTTTTCAAGGGTGACAGGAACAGTATCTATATGGGAAAGACGAGAGAGCGCACGAGCCTGGGTAGCATTCTGTACGGTAATGATGCGCTTACCGCTCTTAAGAGCATGAAAAGAAATATCTTTACCAACATGGCGTAGGAGTGCCTTGCCAATACTATGGTCAGAAAGATAGGCAGTAGAGGAAGTTGGTCGTAAAGTGAAGAATTTAGTCCACTGTTCAGTCTGAAACTGAGCGTGGAAAGGTAGTGAAGGACGTGTCGATCGTTTCTGAGAAGAACGAGAAGGTGAAGGTGGAGAAGTATCATCAGCAGGTAATTGTCGTTGACGTTTAGGCGTGGGACCAGAGTTGGTCCGACGTGGAAGGGTCGGCGATTTGAAAATTGCCGCACCGTAGAGGGAGAGGCCGGGAAACATAGTCAGAGGAGAGCGAAGGTCTGATAAATCAAAGGAGTCAGTCGAGGCCTCAGTACCTGAAGCGGGTGAGGAAACAGCACCGGCAATAGGTACAGAGGCATGAGGAATGTCTGAAGAGTGGTCCAAAGACGAGGCGGGGTCAGAACGGGGTGGGCGGTATCAAGAAGGGGCCCGGGGGTACCAGGTTCATGGACTAGGGCTGCCATGGTTAGGTTACTTCTTTCTTTTTGTTTTTAAGAAAAAAAAAGAAAGAAGAAAAGAAAAATAAAAATAAAAAAAAAAAAAAAAGGGGGGACCGGGGAGGGATAGTTCCTAGGAGGAATGAAAGGGCCAGAAATCTCCCTCCGCGCCCAAGAGGACTCGACACCGCTAGTAGCGCAGATGCAGCATGGAACCGTGCCATACCCTACCCTTCATGCCAGTAAACCAGCAATCTGGGATAGCAACCTCACATCTGCCGAGCTACCTCGGTGGACAAAAGAGAGGGCGGCCGGATATTTCCGCCACAAAGCATACCTCCTTCAGCCACCACCCCCGGAATCCGAAAGGTGGCTTCCAGAGATACACCCGTCGCCCAAAAGACACCCAAAGCTACTCCGGGATACCGGAGAGGGATCGGGACATCCCTAGGCAATCCAGATTCCACGGCAAAACTACGCCACCGCCAAGAAACCTCAACGGAATGGGATGGACCCCGGTGTCCTTTCCCCTACCTAGGAACTAGCGCGCCTGTGGGAGAAATCACGAAGGCTAAAAAGAGGAAGGGCAAAAGGGAGGGGTGAGGAGGAGGAGGAGGAGGAGGAATGGAAAAAGGGGAGGATGGGGAGGATGGGATAGGGGAGGGGAGAATGGGGGGTAATTAGGTTCGGTCTGAGGAAGAAGACCGACAGGGCTAATTCCTCAGACCAAGAGCCTCTTCACCACGCCAAGGAGCCCCCCTTGAAGAGGAAATCAAGCGGGAGAAAGCTGGTAGGCCTACATGAGAGAGAATGGGTCTGAGTGGTGGGTGTGCACCCTGTGAAAAAAATCTAAGACTCAGTCCTGCATTGTGGGAACGCCATCTTGGTAGTCCATTTTCACCATGCCTCGCAGTAAGAAGTACCTCACTCCTCAGCGGATTGGAGGTCTTTTGTTCCCAAGTGATAGCTCTAACAGCGATGGAAGTGTCAGTGAAAGCGAATTCCATAGTTTTCAAGCGAGTGTGACTGGAAACAGTGCCCAGGATAATGTGATTTGTGATGAAAACCCAGATGACCCATGACCTTCCACCTCTGGTGCTGGGCCAGCTCGTTCACGTTCACCTGTACCAGGACGAAAGAGGAAACTATTTGCCCGTGTACAAGACTCAGATGTGAGCAGTAAAAGTGATAGTGATTTTAAAGCTACTGAAAGCAGTTCTAGTTGCGACAGTGAGGGTGAATATTTCCCAGTGAAGCAGCAGTATATACGACGTAGCATGCGGTCTGGTAGTGTGTTATATGCTGTTCCAAGGGTAAGGAGTAAATCTCGGAGCACATCCTGTGGCCCTACACCACGACCTGATAGTGAAGATGACGATATTGTTACGATGGGTATGAATGATGAGAGTGAGGCAGCAGGTGGTGGTGGTGATAGTGATGGTGGCATGAGTTATGTGGCACCAGCAGCGAGCCACACTACTACTGACACTGCTGACTCTGCACAACTACAACCAGCCTCACCCAACCCCACACTCCCACAACCTGCACAACCATAACCACGTTTCAATATCCAGAACCCACCAGCAGACCGCATCTGGGATTGGCAGGAAGATGACGAGTTTGTTCCCAGTCCCCATGACTTTGATGAAACACAAAGCGGAATACGGCCATCGTGTACACTTGGGAACAATGCTACTGAACTGAAATGCTTTCAGTTATTCTTCGATGAACCCCTGATGGACATTATTGTCAGGGAAACCAACACATACTATGAGTACACCACTGCAAATACAATTCTCTCACCAAGATCACGGCTACACTAGTGGAAGGACACAACTGTGGCAGAGATGTACCTGTTTTTTGCCACAATAATGCTTATGCCACATGTGTATAAGCACACTGTCACCACATACTGGTCAACAGAACGCCTGATTTCAACCCCAGGTTTTAGTGACATTATAGGTGTGAATCGTTTTTTGATACTGTTACGTATGATACACTTTTCAGACAAAACAAGACCTGACAGAAGCGACAGGTTATATAAGATCAGAAATGTGTTTATGTACCTGAAACAAAAGTGTTGCATGTATTTTTATCCCTTCAGGAAGCTTGTTATTGACAAGTCTTTGATCTTATTCAAAGGAAGACTCTCATTCAAGCAATACATACCAAGCAAGAGGAAACGCTTTGGTATAAAGTTATTTGTACTGTGTGATTGCAAAAGTGGTCTCGTTTTGGATATCACTGTGTACACTGGCAGTAATACATTGAGAGATACCAGGAAGTTATTGGGTATCTCTGGTGATGTGGTTCGAACAATGATGGAACCATATCTTGGTAAGGCGAGTGAACCTGACAGATGTGTACGGCACAGTGCGTGGTAATTGTAAACATATGCCAAAGTTCGACACTGGCACTCGCAGAGGTGAGGTGCAGGCCTTTGTTGCCAATGACATCATGGCATTTCGGTGGCATAACAAACGTGATGTCACATTGTTGACATCAGTTCACCGAAACAAAATGGCACACACTGGCAGGCACAATAGAGAGACCAATGAACTCATTCTAAAACCTGCAGCTATCATGGACTACAACCTCAATATGCACTTAGTGGACAAATGTGACATGCAGATTGGGTTTGCTGATTGTGTATGCAAGAGTTATAAGTGGTATATAAATTTTTTTTTTCCATCTTCTTGATATTTCCATGCTAAATGTTTATAGCTTATACAAGTTGAGGACCAACAACAAACCAAAATATGGTGAATTTTGTTTGTCAGTCATCAGACAAATAATCACCAAGTACCAAGGAGCAACACCTGCAATAGACCAGCACCCACGAAATTACCAACACACGCCATCTCGTTTGAGGCCTGGTGATCACTACCCCATACAACTGCCTCCTACTCAAGAAAAGTGCTCAGAAGAGGTATTTTGTTTGTGGGCATAACACAAAACACCCACAAACATGCACAGACACTTTTTTTATGTGTGAGGAGTGTCAAGTGCCACTCTGCATATACCCATGTTTCAAAGAGTTCCACAGGCTGCAGCAGGTCTAGGAAAGTGTTCAGTGACTGTATATATGTATATATATTATGGAACAATAGTAATAAACAATGTTTTGTATTGTTTGCTTGTGTAAACAAGTTTTATACACAATCTAATAGTGATAATGTTTGTTCAGTTATTGTGTTGTAAACAATGAGTGAACAATGCACCTTACTTTGGTCTCACAGGCCACATAAGTTACTTATAAAAGAAAAATATTGGAAAATACAAGAAACCTTCGAATTGGAGTAAAATAAAAGAATACCGGGTGGGCAGCATTCGCCGCTGTTGCCATACGCCGCTCATTTTCTGCCAACTTTGCACCTCTGTATCTCAGTAAATACTGATAGCAAAAAAAAATTTTAGGCTTAAAGCACTCGGTAAAATAATCCTAACATTTTGGTAAGAAAAAATTTGTTTTTTTTCGAATATTTTGCGACATAGAATGACAGTTTCAGAAAGGGGCTCTGGGGAAGTCTTGGATGCTGGAGATTAAAAACGAAAGCTTGGTGGCCAAGTTTCTGGCCAACCCCTTACCTTAGTGGCCATATCCCTGGCCAACCCCTACCTTTGTGGCCACGTCCCTGGCAAACTCCTACCTCCACACATTTGTGCCAACAATGACTCCACCCTTGTAGTTATTGATTACTAGTTTTAAGCTAAAACTGCCACAAAACTGAGTGAAATAGTTACCAGATGTTTACATATATATTACAAAGGAATAAAAGGAGTTGCCTTGTAAAGAAAATTAGCTTGCACAGAGGGCATTAAGTGTAATTTTAATAAAGTATTATGTAACTGGATCTCCAAATGATAGATAAGCACTTTGTGGGTAAATTCATTCTGTAGCACCACTTCATAGATTGCTACATTCTAGCTAGGCTATCACCAATAGTTTGATTAATCAGAGAATGGGCCTGTGCTAAACCTGTGCTGAATAATCATCACAGGTTTAGCACTTCATGAAAAAAAAAATTACATTCTCTCCATCTTAACACTGACTTCTCCCCTCAAACCCCAGGAATGCATTTTTTCTTCTTGTTTTTTCTTAGCTGTGCAATAACTGCCTTCCTGTGACTATCCATGTTCTTCAGAATTATCAGTGCAAGCATTGGCAACTGCTTCACTTGTTTGAAAGCCAAACAAACATGTGGAATTCTTTGATATGTTCTAAGTGTAGACGAATGGTTCAAAGAACCGACACATTGTTAAATTAGACACATTATCCTTTGTATGGACTGATGAAGCCACTGTGTGGCAAAACGTTTCCTCAATAAAGATACCCAAGAGTTGCACATGTGTCTAACTTAACAATGTTCTAAGTGAATGGAATTTGATCCCACAACCTGGCAATCATAGGGTACATGTTTGATGTGCTCATTCAAGTATGTATTATTAACACTTGAATTTTGTTGAATTAACTTGAGTCTTCATGAAAGTATTCCATCAAGAAATGAGAAAGAAACAAATGGATATATACCAGCAGTGAAGTTTTGTATCATTGCCTCTTTGTAATAAGAGAAAGAGCCTTGCTTGTGGTAACCCATCCTGAGTATTTATTCAGTTGTAGAATCTCCAATAATTGTAGTATTTGCTATATTCTCTAGTAAAATATATAAAAGAAAATGCAGAAAATTATATTATTAGTATCAATGAATAACATTAGCACACTTTAATACCATAATACCTTATAATCAAATAATATTCTCTATCAGTCAAGCAACTTAATTTTTTACAATCCTTTATATTAACAGTTTTGTAAATACACATTTAATTCAATACAGAATAATCTCTTTAATATCAGAATGAAATGAAAAGAAACAGGGAGAAGAGGAAGAAGAATGAGGAATTCAGTACCTGGGAAATGGAAGGTAATCAAGTTTTATCCAAGGATAGGAATGTACCATAGGCCAAATTCATTAAATCAAGAGCCCTTCACTAGCATCAAGACACACCCTTGAAAAAAGAAAATGAAAGAAAAAGAAACAGGGAGAGAGAGAGAGACTACAAAGTTATTCTAATAATTAAAGCCACTGGGAACATGGTTTTCAAAAGCTATTTTTTATGTTCACATGTACAATACTGTAGTACTGCACTACTAAACACATTTCAATACATAACAAATAAACATCTAAGATGATATTATGTATTATTACAGCCTCTCCTCATTTAGCAACGTACTCGTTTACCGACACCTCGGACTTACGACGGGCTCTCTGACCAGTATTCATACCCAAAAAATGTATATTCGAGCTGATTTCCTCTATTATGTTTATTTCAATATACAATACACTACTGTATAAACATTTAAAAATATATCAGAAATGTTATAAATGGTGCAAAGGTGATATTAAGACAATATCAAAGATGGTTGACACAAACTTGCTACCATTATAGTATGCACTTCATTTAGCGACGAATTCTTTTAATGACATGGTCTCAGAAATGGAAGTCCGTCGTTAAGTGAGGACAGGCTGTATTTTGATTTGATAAAAATAACCTGGTAATCTGAATAATTGGTTTAAAAAACCAACAAGAAGATAAATAAAACACTTGTGCAACATTTGTGAATATTTATTCTGTAAACATTTTGCCAGCCAATGGCAGTCCAATGTGGAGAAACATTGGATGATGAGGAGGAGTTTGAGGTAATCAGTCCTTCAGCCTCCAGGCTAAAAAAGAGGAGTTAATCAGTCTCTCAGCCTCCAGGCTGAGGGACTGATTAACTTAAACTCCTCCTCATCTTCCAACATTTCTCTACACTGAACTGAAGAAGCTACTGGCTGGCAAAATGTTTCCAGAATAAATATTCCCAATGTTGCACAGGAGTCTTATTTATCATCAACCTGGTGGTAATTTAAAAACCTACTGTCACTTCAGCAAAGACTTGAAAATACATCATAACATACTCTCGTGTGAATAAGACATTGTAGCACATTATCTAAGACACTGAAGCTACCAGAAAATACTTTCTTGAGATAATATGGAAACTGATACAATAAATATTCTAAATCTTTAGCACATGTATAGCAACATATAAATAATGAGATAATTATGAGTAGCAAGATCCACTGTTATGCACAGTAGAAAATTATAACCTTTCAATAATATAAATATAAATGAATGACTGTGTGTGTCCATGTGTGTGTGCACACAAATGTGTTTGCATGTTCATGTGTGTCCATGTGTGTGCGTATACATATATGTGAATATACACACACACACATACATACATTCATATACATAAACACACATATATACATAAACATATGTATACATACCTCCATGGGAAAGTGAAACAGAATTCTTCCTCCATAAGCTATACGTGTCGTAAGAGGCGACTAAAATGACAGGAGCGAAAGGCTAGCAACCCCTTCTCCTGTATACATTACTAAATTTATAAAGAGAAACTTTTGTTTTTCTTTTTGAGCCACCCTGCTTCCGTGGGATACGGCTGGTGCATTGAAAGAAAGAATATATACACACATGTACATACATATACATACATTCAACAGTAACTAACTGGGAAAGCATTTGGCTCACAATCAAAAAGACCCATGTTCAATTCCCGGGTGGGTCTAGACATAAGGGTAAGCCCATTTATTTTGCAGGAGGCTCACATCAACTGACTAACCTCTATAGCCAGTGCTCGCCTGGCAAATCTAAGAGTAGTGTTCAGGATTCTCAACACAGAGTATTTTTGGATATTTTATACAATGTATGTCAGGCCTATCTGGGATTATGCAGCACCATTATGGAACCCACGCCTGAGGAAGCATGTTCAGAAACTGGAGAGAGTGCAGTAGCACACAACAAGGCTTGTTCCTGAGTTAAGAGGTATGAGCTATGAGGAGAGGCTAATGGAACTGAATCGAATGACATTAGAGGTTAGAAGAACCAGGGAAGATGTGATAACAGCACACAAAATACTCACAGAAATTGATAGGGCTGTTTGAGAGGTGAGAAATAGAAACTCAGACACACAGCTGGAAGTTGAAAACACAGATGAGCCACAGGGATGTCAGGAAGTATTTCTTTAGTCTCAGGGTGGTCAGAAATTGGAATGATCATGGTGAAGTAGTGGAGGCAGGCTCCATACATAGCTTTAGAGCAGGTACGATAATGCCCATGAGGTTAGGAGGGAGTGAATCTAGCAAGCAGCAGGTTGAGATTTGGGGCCAGGTACTAAGCCACAAGGATGGCAGGAAGTATTTCTTCAGTCTCAGGATGGTTGGACAGTGAAATGGTCTCCATGAAGAAGGGAGTGAATCTGGCAAGCAACAAGGCAAGAGGCAGGGCAAGGAGCAGAGACTCGACCCCTGCAGCCACACATAGATAAGTACTTACATATGTGTGTACATACATAAACATGCAGGACAAGCCACTAGGGGGGTGAATCTTTAGCTCAAGTACTTTCACACTTCTCAGTGTGCCATCAGGAGCTGTGCAATGTTGCAAGGGAGCAACCGAAGCAGCGAGAGAGGTCTCAGAGTAGCGTAGGTGTCATTGGCCACGGTTACCCTTAGGGTAACCGTGGCCGGTGACACCTACATTGCAACATTGCACAGCTCCTGATGATGCACTGAGAAGTGTGAAAGTATTTGAGCTAAAGATTTCCCCCCCTCCCCCCCATGGCTTGTCCTGCATAGTTAAGATCGCCCGTCTGCAATTGTTTGCATATGTAAACATACATTTATGTCTTTCTGGACACTTTACACAACATATGTCGGGCTTTTTTTTTCGGAGAATGCAGAACTAGTATGGAACCCACTCCTGAAGAAGCATGTTAAAAAACAGGAGAAACTGCAGATTTCAACAAGGTTTGTTTCAGCGTTAAGAGGAATTGAATCTAATGACATTGGAGGATAGAAGAACCATGGGAGATATAACAACACAAAATACATAGGGAATTGATAGGGTAGACAGGAAGAGTCTGTTTGAAAGGCAAGAAATAGAAACTTTGGGACATAGCTGGAAGTTAAAAACACAGATGAGCCACAGGAATGTCAGGAAGTATTTCTTCAGTCTCAGGGTAGTCAGAAAGTGGAACAATTTTGGTGAAGTGGTGGAGGCAGGCTCTACACATAGCTTTAAGAGCAGGTACAACAAGGTCCACAAGGCCTGGAGGGAGTGAATCTGGCAAGCAGTTAGTTGAGAATTGGGGCCAGAATTAAGACTCAGCTCCTGTAGCTACATATAAGTGAGTATATAATCATCTTATATGAATGTATAAACTGTCATATACCATTTGTTTCAGATTCAAATAGAGTATTCACATTTTGATTACCAGTAAAAAAAAAACACCAATAATTATGTTAATGATCAATATTATAAGCCATTGTATTGTGGCATATCTGGTACTGGAGATTGTTGATCGTGACGTGATGCAGTAAATCGAGAGAGAACTCCTCTTCTTGACGGTCTTGTTCTGTTGCTAGAGCTGCTACCCCCACCACTGCACTGTGACTGATGCACATCTCTGTAAAGAAGAAAAATCCCCAATTTGTTTATTAGACTAAGAACCCTCTCTTATTGTCACTGCATGTACCAATTTTTTAATTAATAATTCACGTTAAGCACTAAACCCATGGGGATCATTTAGCACAAGACGTGGTGGAGGTTTGATTCTAAGTATACTACCAATGGGAAAATAAATAAAAATATTTTTATCCCATTTTTTTTCCCACTAACATATCTAACATATCACCCTGCCTCGGTGGGAGACGACCAACTTGTTGAAAAAAAAAAAAAAAAAAAAAAAAATATCTAACACTGTAATAGAGTGGGGAACCCTTTCTCAAAGTGATTATATTATTTTACTGTACTCAATGTAGCACTATGTGGTTTAAATTTTTTTACCCCCACATCACCCTTGAAATGAATACTACTTTCCTATTCTTTGCTGCTCTATTTTTGCTGGACTGTATTTTTCCTAATTTCCTACTTGTATATGTATGCTGTGGCAATCTTAAAACTTTTTAAACACTGTTTATCACATCATACTTGAATGCAGTTAAAATGTCGAGAAGATTCTTACTTTTTTAATTGCACATCTACATGGTTACCATGATCTTTCCCATAGTGGCATTTAGCATTCACATGTCATTCTACCTTGGTGGGAAACATAGTGTTGAAAAACAAAAACTGTCTTAACTACACAGTTTACAATGTTCAGGGTATTATGACTTGTTTCCTGCTTGACCTGATCCTCATCCCTCTACAATTCTTTCATCCACTAGTATATTAAGCCAAAAACAACTGGGAGCTCTCTGTATCAATCCAGTGTCTACCAAGAATGTTCCTGCCTCTACTCTCCTCATGTAGACCATGCCTCTTTTGCTTCCCCCTTCCAGCTAAATTTTCTTACTCGATTACCTATCCAAACTTGCCTGAGACTTTGTGCATAAAAGGTGCTTTACCAGTGAATATACACAATTACCTGCAAGTATTATTTATACAACATACAACTGTAATAATCTGCTTGAAGAAAAACTTATTCAATTTATTTTTGTTCTGGGGAACAAAAGTTTATATGCAGGGTACAGTACTGTGAACTTAAAACCTACGCAAAAAATGGCAATAGGCTGGTAAACGTTGATTTGTCTGGCGAAGATGTGAGCTGTGGATGAGAGGTAAGAAGATGGTTCACCACTTGCCGAACATACTGTTGGAGACGAATGCGTCGCTCTTCCACAACACCATCGTCCTTTCAAAAATATTGTAATTTAGGAAGGTGAAATAAGCCCAACTTCAGCATACTGATTTTTTTTTAGTACTGTATTATGAAGTGTAAGTACAGCATGTCTAAACTGTTACAAACCATGTGGATGCAAATACAGCATCCACAAGTGTTTATACAACTCACAAAAGTTACTATGGTAATCTCTTAAGTAATGAAAAATTCTACATACCGTATGTACCTGCTTGACTTTAACAAGCATGGATAGTTATTATGAGAAAGCTAGAATTGTCTTTAATGAAATGTAGCGGTGTTGAGCGATAGCAAAGTATGTACTCCATGCATATACGTACTATATGTAAGTACAGTGGACCCCCGCATAACGATATTATTTCAATCCAGAAGTCTGTTTGGGTGCCGTTATAGACCGAATTTGTTCCCATAAGAAATACTGTGAATTAGATTAGTCCGTTTCAGACCCCCAAAAATACACCTACAAAAGCACTTACAAAAATACACTTACATAATTGGTCGAGTTGGGAGCTGATCGTTATGCGGGGGTCCACTGTACGTACATATGTATGTAATGTACATACATATGTGTATGTGTGAATATATGTATGTACATATGTGCATATGTATTTATCTATATGTATAAGTGTATGTATTGCATGTACAGATTATATATTGTTTCTCTTATATTTATTTATATATTTTTACCTTACCTTATATCCAAAGGTTTTTTTCTGTGGGAAATCAAAAGACTTAACAATGGGATCCTTTTTTTTAAGCTGCTTATGAAGCTCATAAAACTGAGCAAACCGACGATAAACATTCCATTCATCATCTCGGATACGAATGTAAATCTGTTGGAAATGATTTAAGTCAAGTTTTAGACATATTGCTGAGTTGGTTCACATCTTTTAATCATTTAATACTCTATACTATGTTTTTCATCATCTTGTTCTCTTCTGAATTCACATTTCAGTTTCTTTTATATAACAATAATAAATTATGAGATATAATTAATAGTAATCATCCCTAATGTTTGAGTCAAAACAAATAATGCAGTATGAGCATCTCTGTCAATACTTCTAATAATATTTTGTACAGCACAAAAACTTAGAAGTCTAAAAGGTGAAGATTTCACTGGTGCTGCAGATTTATATTTTTACTGAGAAATTAACCCAGAAAATGTCTTCAAGAATGCACCTGATAAACATGATGAGTATCAGCAGAGGTACCAGTTAAGAAGGCAGTAGGAATCCAGATATTGATAAGTGTGCATGGAGTGGTGGAGCAAGTCAATGTATCTGGGTCACTGGTAATGCTCGTGGTATCTTGGAACTCATTATCATCATGTTCAACTGGTAAAGGACCTCTGAGTTCTACCAGTTGTTCACGGAGACGGCAAACCTGTGAAAGTAAAAATCAATCGTGTTTATATAATACATGTATATGAGACATACCATACATAATAGTCACAGTGTCCTGCTTATTTGGAAACCAGTTAAAGAGAACTTCTCAAACACAAGCCATCTAGATAAATGCCTCTCCTTTGTCCTTTATTCAGCTGAACTTAAATTTAAGAGGCTAACTAAAAAGGCTGTGTACTTTTTTTTCAGTTTGAAAAAGCATAGTCACGATATGCTTGTGAACACCTCTTATTCTCAAGTTTCATCATCATATGCTGTAAATAATTGAAGATGGCTAAACATAGCAACAAGTGCTCAGCAGACACTACACATAACTGGAGCTTATCACTACAGCTTTCCTAAATTGGACTACATCTCTCAATATTCTGCTTAATGAACTTAATTATCCTTTGCAGTTGTTGCTGTTACTAAAAATATTTTAAGACAAAATAACAAGTTTTGCTGAAATGCTGATAATAAAAAACTGTTGACAAGGCTAGGCTTAGGTCTGCTTTTATCTTGATTTACTATAGTAGTTGTGTAAATTATGTAGTTAATGATTATATTTTGCCACCTCCATCTGGCTTACTGTCTTTCCATGGTTACAATTTTGGTTTCTTTTCTAAGTCAGATTAAAACAGGATAAAGTGCACAATCAGTTTGCAGTGACAAGCAAGATACAACTGTATTTTATGTAAATAATGTAAAGCTCTTACCTGTGCTTCCCGCACCCTTAATAGCTTTTGTAACCGCTCGTTAAATTCCATCAATTCCCCATGCATTTCTGCAACCTGAAAAAGTATACCAAGAACTTAAAAGTAATCAAACACAAGTTTTATATAACAATGCAGTCTTTCGTCTCTGAAAGATGGGGATACGTTCTGAGAAATGAACTGTTAGGCGATTCTGTCGTTGTGCGAATGTTAGCGTGTATTTACACAAACTTAGATGGTATAGTTTACTACACACTTACGATATATGGTATAGCCTATTGCTCCTAGGCAACAAACCTGTACAGCATGTTACTGTACTGAATACTGTAGGCAACTATAAAACAATGGTAGGATTTGTGTAACACAGTTGTTTATTATCATTATCAAGTATTATGTACTGTACATAATTTTTTTTTTTTTTAACAAGTCGGCCGTCTCCCACCGAGGCAGGGTAACCCAAAAAGAAAGAAAATCCCCAAAAAGAAAATACTTTCATCATCATTCAACACTTTCACCTCACTCACACATAATCACTGTTTTTGCAGAGGTGCTCAGAACACAACAGGTTAGATGCATATACGTATAAAGATACACAACATATCCCTCCAAACTGCTAATATCCCAAAACCCCTCCTTTAGAGTGCAGACATTGTACTTCCCATTTCCAGGACTCAAGTCCGGCTATATAAAAATAACCGGTTTCCCTGAATCCCTCCACTAAATATTACCCTGCTCACACTTCAACAGATCGTCAGGTCCTAAATACCATTCGTCTCCAATTCACTCCTATCGAACACGCTCATGCACGCCTGCTGGAAGTCCAAGCCCCTCGACCACAAAACATAATTGTATATGGTATATTTTTATACAACTGGCAGCACAGTATGTTTGTTTACACCAGCATCACGACAAGCACAAATAATGCATTACTCTATGACGGCTATGACATCACTAGGTAAAAGAAATTTTTCAGCTCCATTATAATCTTATGGGACCACAGTAATGTACAGTAAGGCCCCGCTTTACGGCGTTTCGCCTTATGGCGTTCTGCTAATACGGCGATGTCAAATTATGACCAAAATGTGCTATACGGCAAGCGGTCTTTCAAATACGGAGCCCCCCACCCGGTTTGTTTACATTTTCCGTGACCACATCTGTTATGTCAGGAAACTTTCCAAAATTTCAAGTGTTTTAAAGTTACTGCATATTTTATATGTACTCTGATAATTATACTTATGTGTACCTGTACCTAAATATACTTACACACTGTGCTGGTGTGCAGGTACACATTAAAATCGCTAAGTCTTTCTCTACTCATGACGCCAATACTAAGTAATAATAATCACTCTTGGGCACAATAAATGTCTTATTTTACATCAATATAGGCATTTTCATTAATCCATGTATGATATTTTCCTCAAAATTATATATGAAACCCATTACATACCATATAAACATGATACATACACTCACAGAATAAAAATTGATGTAAATATAAGATCTGTTTACAAAGCGGCTGTGTAGGTAGTTTTTTTTTTTTATTATCACACCGGCCGATTCCCACCAAGGCAGGGTGGCCCGAAAAAGAAAAACTTTCACCATCATTCACTCCATCACTGTCTTGCCAGAAGGGTGCTTTACACTACAGTTTTTAAACTGCAACATTAACACCCCTCCTTCAGAGTGCAGGCACTGTACTTCCCATCTCCAGGACTCAAGTCCGGCCTGCCGGTTTCCCTGAATCCCTTCATAAATGTTACTTTGCTCACACTCCAACAGCACGTCAAGTATTAAAAACCATTTGTCTCCATTCACTCCTATCAAACACGCTCACGCATGCCTGCTGGAAGTCCAAGCCCCTCGCACACAAAAACCTCCTTACCCCCTCCCTCCAACCCTTCCTAGGCCGACCCCTACCCCGCCTTCCTTCCACTACAGACTGATACACTCTTGAAGTCATTCTGTTTCGCTCCATTCTCTCTACATGTCCGAACCACCTCAACAACCCTTCCTCAGCCCTCTGGACAACAGTTTTGGTAATCCCGCACCTCCTCCTAACTTCCAAACTACGAATTCTCTGCATTATATTCACACCACACATTGCCCTCAGACATGACATCTCCACTGCCTCCAGCCTTCTCCTCGCTGCAACATTCATAAACCCACGCTTCACACCCATATAAGAGCGTTGGTAAAACTATACTCTCATACATTCCCCTCTTTGCCTCCAAGGACAAAGTTCTTTGTCTCCACAGACTCCTAAGTGCACCACTCACTCTTTTTCCCTCATCAATTCTTGATTCACCTCATCTTTCATAGACCCATCCGCTGACACGTCCCACTCCAAATATCTGAATACGTTCACCTCCTCCATACTCTCTCCCTCCAATCTGATATTCAATCTTTCATCACCTAATCTTTTTGTTATCCTCATAACCTTACTCTTTCCTGTATTCACCTTTAATTTTCTTCTTTTGCACACCCTACCAAATTCATCCACCAATCTCTGCAACTTCTTTTCAGAATCTCCCAAGAGCACAGTGTCTCGGCAAAGAGCAGCTGTGACAACTCCCACTTTTGTGTGTGATTCTTTATCTTTTAACTCCACGCCTCTTGCCAAGACCCTCGCATTTACTTCTCTTACAACCCCATCTATAAATATATTAAACAACCACGGTGACATCACACATCCTTGTCTAAGGCCTACTTTTACTGGGAAAAAATTTCCCTCTTTCCTACATACTCTAACTTGAGCCTCACTATCCTCGTAAAAACTCTTCACTGCTTTCAGTAACCTACCTCCTACACCATACACTTGCAACATCTGCCACATTGCCCCCCTATCCACCCTGTCATACGCCTTTTCCAAATCCATAAATGCCACAAAGACCTCTTTAGCCTTATCTAAATACTGTTCACTTATATGTTTCACTGTAAACACCTGGTCCACACACCCCCTACCTTTCCTAAAGCCTCCTTGTTCATCTGCTATCCTATTCTCCGTCTTACTCTTAATTCTTTCAATTAAAACTCTACCATACACTTTACCAGGTACACTCAACAGACTTATCCCCCTAAAATTTTTGCACTCTCTTTTATCCCCTTTGCCTTTATACAAAGGAACTATGCATGCTCTCTGCCAATCCCTGGGTACCTTACCCTCTTCCATACATTTATTAAATAATTGCCCCAAACCCCACTCCAAAACTATATCCCCACCTGCTTTTAACATTTCTATCTTTATCCCATCAATCCCGGCTGCCTTACCCCCTTTCATATTACCTACTGCCTCACAACTTCCCCACACTCACAACTGCTCTTCCTCACTCCTACAAGATGTTATTCCTCCTTGCCCTATACACGAAATCACAGCTTCCCTATCTTCATCAACATTTAACAATTCCTCAAAATATTCCTTCCATCTTCCCAATACCTCTCCCTCTCCATTTAATAACTCTCCTCTCCTATTTTTAACTGACAAATCCATTTGTTTCTCTAGGCTTTCTTAACTTGTTAATCTCACTCCAAAACTTTTTCTTATTTTCAACAAAATTTGTTGATAACATCTCACCCACTCTCTCATTTGCTCTCTTTTTACATTGCTTCACCACTCTCTAACTTCTCTCCCTTTTTTTCCATATACTCTTCCCTCCTTGCATCACTTCTACTTTGTAAAAACTTCTCATATGCTAAAATTTTTCCCTTTACTACTCTCTTTACATCATCAATTCCCCCAATCGCTCCCTCTTCCCTCCTGCACCCACTTTCCTGTAACCACAAACTTCTGCTGAACACTCTAACACTACATTTTTAAACCTACCCCATACCTCTTCGACCCCATTGCCTATGCTCTCATTAGCCCATCTATCCTCCAATAGCTGTTTATATCTTACCCTAACTGCCTCCTCTTTAGTTTATAAACCTTCACCTCTCTCTTCCCTGATGCTTCTATTCTCCTTGTATCCCATCTACCTTTTTACTCTCAGTGTAGCTACAATAGAAAGTGATCTGATATATCTGTGGCCCCTCTATAAACATGTACATCCTGAAGTCTACTCAACAGTCTTTTATCTACCAATACATAATCCAACAAACTACTGTCATTTCGCCCTACATCATATCGTGTATACTTATTTATCCTCTTTTTCTTAAAATATGTATTACCTATAACTAAACCCCTTTCTATACAAAGTTCAATCAAAGGGCTCCCATTATCATTTACACCTGGCACCCCAAACTTACCTACCACACCTCTCTAAAGTTTCTCCTACTTTAGCATTCAAGTCCCCTACCACAATTACTCTCTCACTTGGTTCAAAGGCTCCTATACATTCACTTAACATCTCCCAAAATCTCTCTCTCTCCTCTGCATTCCTCTCTTCTCCAGGTGCATACACGCTTATTATGACCCACTTCTCGCATCCAACCTTTACTTTAATCCACATAATTCTTGAATTTACACATTCATATTCTCTTTTCTCCTTCCAATAACTGATCATTTAACATTACTGCTACCCCTTCCTTTGCTCTAACTCTCTCAGATACTCCAGATTTAATCCATTTATTTCCCCCACTGAAACTCTCCTACCCCCTTCAGCTTTGTTTCGCTTAGGGCCAGGGACATCCAACTTCTTTTCATTCATAACATCAGCAATCATCTGTTTCTTGTCATCCGCACTACATCCACGCACATTTAAGCAACCAGTTTTTAAAGTTTTTCTTCTTCTCTTTTTTAGTAATTGTATACAGGGAGAAGGGGTTACTAGCCCATTGCTCCCGGCATTTTAGTCGCCTCATACGACACGCATGGCTTACGGAGGAAAGATTCTTTTCCACTTCCCCATGGACAATAGAAGAAATAAAAAAGAACAAGAGCTATTTAGAAAAAGGAGAAAAACCTAGATGTATGTATATATATATATGCATGTGCGTGTCTGTGAAGTGTGACCAAAGTGTAAGTAGGAGTAGCAAGATATCCCTGTTATCTTAGCGTGTTTATGAGACAGAAAAAGAAACCAGCAATCCTACCATCATGCAAAACAGTTACAGGTTTTTGTTTCACAGTCATCTGGCAGGACGGTAGTACTTCCCTGGGTGGTTGCTGTCTACCAACCTACTACCTGTGTAGGTAGTGTTGGAAGAATTACGTTTTCTCTGGTCAAACACTGGGGGGTAACTGTAGAAAAATATTCTTTTCGTATGCCTTTACTCTATATATAGCAATTCACGACCCATGTGGGTTTAGTGCTTTTTATTATTATATTATTATTATTATTATTATTATTATTAATAATAATAATAATAATAATATTATTATTATTATTAATATTATCATCTTCATTCACTCTAAAAAAGGTGTGTTGCTGTTTGTTTATTCTGAACTAACTTGTGCAACTTGTACACAATGTAAGAGTATTTGTTTCGCCACACAGTGGCTTCATCAGTAATGATGAAGCCACTGTGTGGCGAAACGTTTCCTGAATAAAGATTCCCATATGTTGCATAAGTGTCTCAATCTGATGAAGCCACTGTGTGGCGAAACGTTTCCTGAATAAAGATTCCCATATGTTGCAAGAGTATTTGTATTGTGAGGTAATTATTATTATAATAAAAAAATATTGAGGTAAATGTTTTACAAACTCTTACAAACGTATGTGAATGAACTAAAAGTAGACACATATTAATACGCATTTATTTCGCCTGACCAAGTGATCACCCACTACCTGTTCAGTTTGTGTTCTTACATTGTCTGAACTCTGTATCTCGTTCTCTCTCTCGTTTACTCTTTCGTTAACTAGTTGGCTCTCATTGACGATGGTGTCTAAGGTTAGCTGTGATAAAAAGAGAAGTCTTAAGCCTCTTGCTTTAAGTGCTGAGTTAGAGGATGATGGTGTGCCATTCTGATTTTATTCAATAAACACCCTGTCACTCACCTCTCACACATTAATACAGTGGACCCCCGCATAACGATCACCTCCGAATGCGACCAATTATGTAAGTGTATTTATGTAAGTGCGTTTGTACGTGTATGTTTGGGGGTCTGAAATGGACTAATCTACTTCAGAATATTCCTTATGGGAACAAATTCGGTCAGTACTGGCACCTGAACATACTTCTGGAGTGAAAAAATATCGTTAACCGGGGGTCCACTGTATTAATATTTTAAGGTAAGTAATAAGTGTACTGTGTGTATCTTACCTTTTATTGTGCTTTTAATGCCTATTTCTATTGCTAACTTAATATAAGTTAGTGTCAACTTGTTGTCTGGCATTTATTGCATATTTTACGTTTTTTTTTTTTTCAACAAGTCGGCCGTCTCCCACCGAGGCAGGGTGACCCAAAAAAGAAAGAAAATCCCCAAAAAGAAAATACTTTCATCATCATTCAACACTTTCACCACACTCGCACATTATCACTGTTTTTGCAGAGGTGCTCAGAATACAACAGTTTAGAAGCATACACATTTAAAGATACACAACATATCCCTCCAAACTGCCAATATCCAATATTTTACGTGTGCTCTGATAATAATCCTTGTGGAGCTGTGTGGTAGCCGGGCGAAGGGACAACATTACGTTTTCTCTGCTTAGCCATCAGAGAAAACGTGTATGAATCTGCGTTTGGCCGAGCCACTCCCTCACTCCACTTTTGTTTACAATTTTCGGCATGAATTATTCATTACTTCTACCTTCGTTTATGATGGCATCTAAAGGTAGTTGTTAGAAATGATTCAATTCAGTGAACAAGGTATGTCGATGTTAATAATATGGCTCTGGGCCATGGTGTAGGTAGCCGGTAGGTGTAGCCCAGGAAGGCTACACCTACCGGCTACCTACACTGATTTCCTACAAATAAATGCTACTCACCGCTCTTCCTATATTAAGACTACACATATTTTAAGGTAAATAATGAGTGTACTGTATGTGTATTTTACCTCTCTGAGATGTTTTAACCCCTTCAGGGTCCAAGGCCCAAATCTGAAGTGGTGCCCCAGTGTCCAAGAATTTAAAACAAAAAATTTGTTATTTTTTCTTATGAAATGGTAGAGAATCTTTTTGTGAAGGTAATAAAACAAAAAGTACGAAATTTGATGGAAAATTGACGAAATTATGCTCTCGCGAATTTTGATGTGTCAGCGATATTTACGAATCGGCGATTTTGCCGACTTTGACTCCCATTTTAGGCCAATTACATTATTCCAGTCAACCAAATTCTTAGCTATTTCACTAGTATTACTTCTATTCTATTGATTGAGCACAAGAAATCGCCAAGTCAACTGTTTCAACTACAAATTAAAGTGATCGGAAATTGTTAATTTGGCCAATTTAACACAAAGTTCAAAATATTTCAATTTCAAAATAGGGTCCAGAATAAACAATGTAGGTATTCCTGGAACTAAACTAACATTTCCTCTGTTCATTAGTTACGTTTTGAGGCTTTACAAATAAATTCCATTTTGATTTTTTATTCACTTAATGAATTCTTATTCACACCAAAAAACAGAAGATATACTGTTATGCAATACTGTAATAATTGTATAAATATCATCACCATATTTGGGAATGCATATCAGACCCACCAGCTGGCGTGTATTAGACGTGTGAGGTCGTTTGTTTACTCTTGAATATCGGCAAAAATTTAACATTTCTGCTACTTTGAGCTCAGTTTCAAGCCATTTCCAGTGTTAAAACCAATCAAAATCATCTCTATTTCTGTAATATGTCTTCCATTCTATCAAATGAGACCAAGAAATCACAAATAGAACTATAAAAAACATACGAAAAAACACTGCAAAGTTGCTGTTTTAATCGAAAAATCATGATTTCATTTTTTTCTCTCATTATACACAGCGTGCTGCAGGATCTGTTTTATGTGGTGCACACATACCACATAGATGTATTCTCTCATATCTAGGCCCAAATGTACCACTCACAGTTTATCAGAGTGAGCTGAGCTCATGACGTAGATCTACGGTTTGGACCCTGAACGTAAAGCTGTAGATCTATGGGACAGACCCTCAAAGGGTTAAATATCCTATATTAAGTATGAGACAGGGAGCCAGGGCTACCTACACCATGGCTACCTGCACCTGACTTCCTACAAACAAGTACTACTCACCTCTCTCCCTACATTAAGATTACAAATACTTTAAGATAAGTAATGAATTTAATGTGAATGTATTTTACTTTGTGTGTTTTTAATGCCTAGTTCTATTACTAATATAATTTAGTGTAAACTTGTTGTCTGGCATTTATAAATTGAAAAAAAATGGCGTTCTGCCTTCCGGCGATGTCTGCTTTCCGGCGACAGCCTGGAACCTAATCCGCCGTAAAAGTGGGGCCCTACTGTATATGGTCCATCGATGACCGAAACGTTATTATGTGGAGCATGACTGTATTTGTGAATTCAATTGTTAATATAGTCAAGTAATGTATAGTATCAATGTGAAACTAATTAAAAATCAAAATACCAAAACTGGAACAATTCACCAAAAAAAACGAACTTAGGAAAGGAACCTCATGATGACATTTTGATCCGTTCTGGACCACTGTCAAGCCACAATAGTACAGGATGGACCAAAATGTTGTTATAAGAAACCTTATAACAACATTTTGGTCCATTACGGTCCTCACATGGTTATTTTCTTAGGTGTAAGTTTTTGGTGAATTGTGCCATGTTATATTGATCTTGTTTATTGCAAATCTCTATATTGTGTTTTGTGAGTGCACTCACAGTGATAATTAAGAGTTAAATATACTGCAATCTACAGCCATCTGACCAACACACAAATGTACTAAACTTCAGCCACCTGACTCTCGCACAAGTGTACTAAACTTCAGCTGACTGACCTGAATGAGTTTTCTTTCATAGGCAGCAGCTTCATGGTGGTAATCTCGGTAATCTGGATTAGGTTTGCTGAGTGGTACAACTGCTCCTTCATTGACTCCTTCCCGGCGAAGGAGTTGCACTGCTCCCACGTATTTCTTCAACTGGTGTTTTAGTAATTCATTTTCCCTGCAACAATAGTTAATAAAAGCTATAGCAAAAAAAAAAAAATTCAGATCTCAAAAAAAGTACTGCAATATAACTATCAACCTGTCTATAGTATTATTATACTCCCAGGGACACTAAATCCATAGTCATACAGGGCTTGGATAATGGGTTATCAAATCTGTTTTAAGGATGAAGGGTAGCTCCAATTCCCTGGAGTAAAAGCATTTTGCTAGCTTCAATGTAATTTCCCTTGAAAGGGAGGTACATCCTCTCACTTCCTCCTATTTGCTTATATGCGTATTCCACTAAATCCCTCTTACCTAATGATGCCATTCTTATACAGTGGAATCTTGGTACTCAAACTTAATTCAATCCAGAAGGCTGTTTGAGCACCGATCTGTTCGAGCATTGAATGATTTTTCCCAACCAATTTTCTTTTTGGTTGGCTGTTATCACTAATCTTTGTAGGTCCCATTACGACTTATTTATACAAATAATATAAAAAAAAACACCAACAAATGCGAAGAAACACGGAATAGTTTACAGCAAAGTTCTGGCAGGTCATGTTTGTTTGGTCAAGTGCCGAGCTTTGTTTGAGTACCGAGGTTCCACTCTACTCCATTTACCATTAATTCTTACTTTGTTTACCACTAAGTAATGGTCTGACAGATCAGTTACTCCTCTAAAATGAGCACATCCACCCATCAACACTATCAATATATAGTCTATCAGGCTGCTGTCACTGTGCACATCATCATATCTTATAAAATAAGCACCAGCTATTACCAAACCTCTTTCTATAAAGAATAAATAGACACAATACTATGACTGGAACAATACACAAATAACCCACACATAGGAAACTGAAACTTATGATGACATTTTGGTCCAGCTTGGTGACTAGTTAATGGTCCAGCAGAACCAAAATGTCAACATAAGTTTCAGTCTCCTCCTATTTTTTTTTTTTTTTTTTTTATCATCACACTGGCCGATTCCCACCAAGGCAGGGTGGCCCGAAAAAGAAAAACTTTCACCATCATTCACTCCATCAATGTCTTGCCAGAAGGGTGCTTTACACTACAGTTTTTAAACTGCAACATTAACACCCCTCCTTCAGAGTGCAGGCACTGTACGTACTTCCCATCTCCAGGACTCAAGTCCGGCCTGCCGGTTTCCCTGAACCCCTTCATAAATGTTACTTTGCTCACACTCCAACAGCACGTCAAGTATTAAAAACCATTTGTCTCCATTCACTCCTATCAAACACGCTCAGGCATGCCTGCTGGAAGTCCAAGCCCCTCGCACACAAAACCTCCTTTACCCCCTCTCTCCAACCTTTCCTAGGCCGACCCCTACCCCGCCTTCCTTCCACTACAGACTGATACACTCTTGAAGTCATTCTGTTTCGCTCCATTCTCTCTACATGTCCGAACCACCTCAACAACCCTTCCTCAGCCCTCTGGACAACAGTTTTGGTAATCCCGCACCTCCTCCTAACTTCCAAACTACGAATTCTCTGCATTATATTCACACCACACATTGCCCTCAGACATGACATCTCCACTGCCTCCAGCCTTCTCCTCGCTGCAACATTCATCACCCATGCTTCACACCCATATAAGAGTGTTGGCAAAACTATACTCTCATATATTCCCCTCTTTGCCTCCAAGGACAAAGTTCTTTGTCTCCACAGACTCCTAAGTGCACCACTCTTTTCCCCTCATCAATTCTATGATTCACCTCATCTTTCATAGACCCATACGCTGACACGTCCACTCCCAAATATCTGAATACATTCACCTCCTCCATACTCTCTCCCTCCAATCTGATATTCAATCTTTCATCACCTAATCTTTTTGTTATCCTCATAACCTTACTCTTTCCTGTATTCACCTTTAATTTTCTTCTTTTGCACACCCTACCAAATTCATCCACCAATCTCTGCAACTTCTCTTCAGAATCTCCCAAGAGCACAGTGTCATCAGCAAAGAGCAGCTGTGACAACTCCCACTTTGTGTGTGATTCTTTATCTTTTAACTCCACGCCTCTTGCCAAGACCCTCGCATTTACTTCTCTTACAACCCCATCTATAAATATATTAAACAACCACGGTGACATCACACATCCTTGTCTAAGGCCTACTTTTACTGGGAAATAATTTCCCTCTTTCCTACATACTCTAACTTGAGCCTCACTATCCTCGTAAAAACTCTTCACTGCTTTCAGTAACCTACCTCCTACACCATACACTTGCAACATCTGCCACATTGCCCCCCTATCCACCCTGTCATACGCCTTTTCCAAATCCATAAATGCCACAAAAACCTCTTTAGCCTTATCTAAATACTGTTCACTTATATGTTTCACTGTAAACACCTGGTCCACACCCCCTACCTTTCCTAAAGCCTCCTTGTTCATCTGCTATCCTATTCTCCGTCTTACTCTTAATTCTTTCAATAATAACTCTACCATACACTTTACCAGGTATACTCAGCAGACTTATCCCCCTATAATTTTTGCACTCTCTTTTATCCCCTTTGCCTTTATAAAAAGGAACTATGCATGCTCTCTGCCAATCCCTAGGTACCTTACCCTCTTCCATACATTTATTAAATAATTGCACCAACCACTCCAAAACTATATCCCCACCTGCTTTTAACATTTCTATCTTTATCCCATCAATCCCGGCTGCCTTACCCCCTTTCATTTTACCTACTGCCTCACGAACTTCCCCCACACTCACAACTGGCTCTTCCTCACTCCTACAAGATGTTATTCCTCCTTGTCCTATACACGAAATCACAGCTTCCCTATCTTCATCAACATTTAACAATTCCTCAAAATATTCCCTCCATCTTCCCAATACCTCTAACTCTCCATTTAATAACTCTCCTCTCCTATTTTTAACTGACAAATCCATTTGTTCTCTAGGCTTTCTTAACTTGTTAATCTCACTCCAAAACTTTTTCTTATTTTCAACAAAATTTGTTGATAACATTTCACCCACCTCTCATTTGCTCTCTTTTTACATTGCTTCACCACTCTCTTAACCTCTCTCTTTTTCTCCATATACTCTTCCCTCCTTGCATCACTTCTACTTTGTAAAAACTTCTCATATGCTAACTTTTTCTCCCTTACTACTCTCTTTACATCATCATTCCACCAATCGCTCCTCTTCCCTCCCGCACCCACTTTCCTGTAACCACAAACTTCTGCTGAACACTCTAACACTACATTTTTAAACCTACCCATACCTCTTCGACCCATTGCCTATGCTCTCATTAGCCCATCTATCCTCCAATAGCTGTTTATATCTTACCCTAACTGCCTCCTCTTTTAGTTTATAAACCTTCACCTCTCTCTTCCCTGATGCTTCTATTCTCCTTGTATCCCATCTACCTTTTACTCTCAGTGTAGCTACAACTAGAAAGTGATCTGATATATCTGTGGCCCCTCTATAAACATGTACATCCTGAAGTCTACTCAACAGTCTTTTATCTACCAATACATAATCCAACAAACTACTGTCATTTCGCCCTATATCATATCTTGTATACTTATTTATCCTCTTTTTCTTAAAATATGTATTACCTATAACTAAACCCCTTTCTATACAAATTTCAATCAAAGGGCTCCCATTATCATTTACACCTGGCACCCCAAACTTACCTACCACACCCTCTCTAAAAGTTTCTCCTACTTTAGCATTCAGGTCCCCTACCACAATTACTCTCTCACTTGGTGTATGTGTAGGTTATTTATGTACTCTTCCTATATTACCTAAATAATCATTTATCACAATAAGAGCATCAGACTCCTCCAAAAATCAAATCAAAATTAAAAAATTTTGCTTTTGTCAGAATATAATGAATATCAGAGACAATTCCAAATTTAATCCTTATATTCTGAATATGGAATATTTCTCTATATTATTTCAAATTTTTGCTAATGATTCTGTTGAACATTTATTTTGTAACTTAGTAAAATCATTGTTTCTTCAGTTAATGATAGAGTACACAACTTTGAATATTAACCTGGTCAGAGTGTTGACTTTCATATTTAACTTATCAAGAGTTTCTTGGTGCTGACTCTGTTGAAGAGCTATCTCAGCTCTAAGCATGGATGTTGTTTCCATTTCCATAGTAAGTGCTGCAGCAACTTCAACCCTACGACCCTCTGCAGCATCTCGAGCTCGGCTAATCTCTAAAACAGCGGATTTTAGTTCATCTGTAACAGAATTATACAGTGTACATGCAACGTAGAAGTGTCCGATAAAATTACTAGTAAATTATAAACAAACATTAGTTACTTATGCAGTACGTATGTTCATATGTATAAGTGCTTGATAATAACCCAAAGAGGGCCCCAGTAGGGGCTCGATTTTTTTTTTTTTTTTTTATCACACTGGCCTACTCCCACCAAGGCAGGGTGGCCCGAAAAAGAAAAACTTTCACCATCATTCACTCCATCACTGTCTTGCCAGAAGGGTGCTTTACACTACAGTTTTTAAACTGCAACATTAACACCCCTCCTTCAAAGTGCAGGCACTGTACTTCCCATCTCCAGGACTCAAGTCCGGCCTGCTGGTTTCCCTGAACCCCTTCATAAATGTTACTTTGCTCACACTCCAACAGCACGTCAAGTATTAAAAACCATTTGTCTCCATTCACTCCTATCAAACACGCTCACGCATGCCTGCTGGAAGTCCTAGCCCCTCGCACACAAAACCTCCTTTACCCCCTCCCTCCAACCTTTCCTAGGCCGACCCCTACCCCGCCTTCCTTCCACTACAGACTGATACACTCTTGAAGTTATTCTGTTTCGCTCCATTCTCTCCACATGTCCGAACCACCTTAACAACCCTTCCTCAGCCCTCTGGACAACAGTTTTGGTAATCCCGCACCTCCTCCTAACTTCCAAACTATGAATTTTCTGCATTATATTCACACCACACATTGCTCTCAGACATGACATCTCCACTGCCTCCAGCCTTCTCCTCGCTGCAACATTCATCACCCATGCTTCACACCCATATAAGAGCGTTGGTAAAATAAAACTATACTCTCATACATTCCCCTCTTTGCCTCCAAGGACAAAGTTCTTTGTCTCCACAGACTCCTAAGTGCACCACTCACCCTTTTCCCCTCATCAATTCTATGATTCACCTCATCTTTCATAGACCCATCCGCTGACACGTCCACTCCCAAATATCTGAATACATTCACCTCCTCCATACTCTCTCCCTCCAATCTGATATCCAATCTTTCATCACCTAATCTTTTTGTTATCCTCATAACCTTACTCTTTCCTGTATTCACTTTCAATTTTCTTCTTTTGCACACCCTACCAAATTCATCCACCAATCTCTGCAACTTCTCTTCAGAATCTCCCAAGAGCACAGTGTCATCAGCAAAGAGCAACTGTGACAACTCCCACTTTATGTGTGATTCTTTATCTTTTAACTCCACGCCTCTTGCCAAGACCCTCGCATTTACTTCTCTTACAACCCCATCTATAAATATATTAAACAACCACGGTGACATCACACATCCTTGTCTAAGGCCTACTTTTACTGGGAAATAATTTCCCTCTTTCCTACATACTCTAACTTGAGCCTCACTATCCTCGTTAAAACTCTTCACTGCTTTCAGTAACCTACCTCCTACACCATACACCTGCAACATCTGCCACATTGCCCCCCTATCCACCCTGTCGAAATATGAACACAAATTCATCAAAGTTTCTGTCTCTACATGGATTATTACTCAAGTTTTCTGAGTGGATGTACAGGTGTATTGCAGACAGGTATTGGCACTGTACTTCCTATCCCAGGACTCAAGTCTATTATTATAATCAAGGGGGAAGTGCTAAACCCATAGGATTATACAGCACCTGTGGGGGGATGTGAAAGGTATTCAGGCTTAATTCAGGGAACTGGAGCACAGATCCAATTCTATAGATCAAGAGCCCCTCACCAGCATCAAGGAACCTTCCTTGAGGGGCACTCGAGTCTAGATAACCAAAAAAGACCTTAGATGCAGGCCAAAATGTTAGTCTGACTTTTTAAATACTTTTCTAAACAGTGGCTTTATATTACATGTATATGTAGACAAAGCACCTGTCACACACTATAATGTAAGACTACCTTACCTACAGTTAAAGTAGTGTCACCACTTGAAGGACTGGGTAATGTTGAGGATACAGAGCTAGGACTGATGACCCCAGTCCTTCCCTGAGCTTCAACAATATCTGCAACAGCTGCTACTGCTTCATCAACCTCCTGTGCAAAGGTCCAATGTCTGTATTACACTGTATCCAATAATTTCTGCTGTATGGCTTTTGGAGCTCACTTGGAATATGTCATAGCTCATTCACACTAATATTCACCGCACCAAGGATGAGAAGAATTAGGAAAAGAAAAAGTTTATCTTGTCAAGCTTTTATCATTAGTATGCTCAAGTTTCAACTACATTAAAACTTAATTTTTGATAAACTAAAATATAAAAACAATATTTCATAATGAAAATAATGGTTTTCAAAAGTTCTAGAGCACTTCACTAACCAATTTTCAAAATTCTACCGAACTAACACAGGGTTAAAGATATCATCTCTCACTTTGCCTGACTGTCCATTGCCTACATAATCAATGCTCCATCCATGGTTTTCACTGCAGCCTGGTTCCTGACCTTTTGGGACCCTTCATGGGATGTACTTTAACTCCAAAGGATGGCCACAATAGTGGATATGCTACTGTGTACAATACAGTTGCATATGGATGCTTTATCATTAAAATGAATACACTCAAAATGAAGAAGGCTTAATGATCAAAAAATTGCATACCTGAGTGTAGCTATGTATAGAGGTTTCATCATCTGAACGAATGCCATCAAAGGTAGCAAGGCCTCTTGGACTAATGGGAATCAGTCCTCCAATGCCAATCCCACCCACTGGAGTAAATACAGCTCCTGTGTCACCTTCACTGTTAAAGATCTTATTTTTACTCTACTTTTAAGGTCATGTGATCAATCTAATCCTCATTACAAGCATCAAAACCATTGAGAGGCATGTAGAAAATGAATATGAAATACTAGTACATAACTTTACTGAAGCAGTGAGGGGCATTGTTAAAAGCACCAACTGAACATCCTACACAACCCATGTTAAAATTGAAATATAACAAATTATTATTACTGTATCTGGAACTCTAAGATTCAAAATAAAATAACCTTACCAGTAATCAACTGGAAAATATTGCATACCTTGATGGAAAACTTTCTGCTGAAAAGTTGGACTGACTAGATTTATATGATCCAGTTTCTTGATCATATAAACTGTTGGGTCGCTGAGATTTCAAGAGTGGCATATTGGCTGTTGCTGTGTTGCTGTCATTCAAAATGTTCTCACTATTTTCAGATGACTCATCTAGTTTTTTTGGCAATATATTTTCAAACAGTTGCTGATAGCTTGGTTCATTCAATGATTCATCATCATAAGTGATATTCTTGTTAATGGCAGGAAGGCTGGTTTCTAAATTATCAGTGTCTTGAAGGGGACTCCCAATCTCGTCTTCCACTCTTAATTTCTCGCTGTTGTTTCCCATTTCACAGTAAGTTCTAGGAAGGCTCTTTTGGCCATTAGAGAATTCACTGACTGATTTTAGAATTTCCTTATTCTGTTGCAATTCATGTAGATGTACCAATCTCTCCAAGCGATCTGCATATGGTGTTGAAGCAGCGGTGGTTGGAGCTGGGGAACTGAGACATGTTGTGGGGGCACTGTGATATAGCGGTGAATTTACATCTGGTCGATCAGGTCTCGAAAGGTCATCGTCAAAGGATATTAACTGAGAAGGTATCTTCTTTCTTCTTCTTCTAAGATCTCTCTTTCTTGAAACCAATGAACCACCTAAAAAATACAAGTTATAAAATTAAGACCTTAAAGCATCACACCAGAAAACATTAATTTTTGGATGCTTTTGTAAAAAATTGGAAGTGAAAAAAAATCCTTAAATATTAGAAAAAAAATTTAATGAAAATATAGTTAGGAAAGTCAACATCAAAGCACACACACTATTTGCACAGACCATTGCACACTGAATAAGATTTTATAAATTTCTAAGCAATGTTCCACCTAGAGCTTCAGACATGATAATCATGTATGCAAGGTTAAACAATGGAAAATTTGAGTTTTGAAGAATTAACACACTGTACATATATAATGCATGTAGAAATAGCAAAATAAATAGTGCGCTTATCATACACGTGCAGGGTAATGGGTTGAGTGTAGCACAAACCTAAATGGGTAATAAATTATTATACTCATGGAGAAGCCCAAATTCATAAAGGCCATACAGCACCTATAGAATGTTAGGTAACCAAGTTTGATCAAAGGGAGGGGAGAGTACCTCTAATTTGCTGGAGCAAGACCCCTTCACTAGCATTCAGGTACCTGCTTTCAAAAGAGTCAAATGATTTACTTGAAAGCTTTCTGCTTTTTAACAGAATATAGTACAGTATAATTTTTTTCACGTGTTGGCAGTCTCCCACAAAGGCAGGGTGACCCGAATAAAATAAACAATTTCAGCATAAATTATGGCTATTTATTTTAACCCGTAAACAGCCCAAACGTATATATACGTTTTTTCAACATTTGAAAGTATGTAAAAAAAGTAGATCTTTTTTTTTTTACATTTAAAATGTGTAAAAAAAACTTTGATCTACTTTTTTTTGTTATATTTGAAAATATGTAAAAAAAAACGTAGATCTACTTTTGGAGCACTACGCATGTGAATGTAGATCTGCTTGGACCGTTTACGGGTTAAATGTCAGGAGCAAGGGGCTAGTAAACCCTTTTCCTGTATAAATTAGTAAATATAAGAAGAAAAACTTTCATTTTTCTTTTTAGGTCACCCTATCTTGGTGGAATATGGCCAGAGAGTTAAAAAAAAAAAAATCATTCTAAAGAATACTAACATTCCACCAACAGAAGCCACATTCTACTTTATTTATCATATTACTGATAGGACAAAAGACAGATAATATGTAGATATAAAAGTTGCACACTCACTGGTATGGTCAGCATCTGAAGTGCTAGCTATCTGAGCTTCAGGTTCAGGTTTCACATTAGGTATGGCATCGACTTTGGCACGAAATTCATTTTGGCTCCCAGCATTTAGCTCAACATTGTCAATGTTAATGGCAAACAGTATAGAATCCAGACCTGATAGAAAGATATAACATGTTATAAATACAACTCCTAAACAATGCTATCAACAGTGAGACAGATTACGGAATACTATCTGTGTTGGGATTGATTAAATTAAAACTATTCATTCATGCCTGGTAAAATTTATACAAAGCTAATATTTTAAGCAATGCCCTATACATTATATTCAAACATGAAAGTGCTCTGGAAACATGAATATTACACAAGTCTCTTACCAGCTGCCAAATTAGGCAGCATTGCTGCCCTTTCTTGGTCCCGAAGGAGAGCCCATGGTTCATACCACTGTTGAAGCAGGATCTCATCACAGACAACGATCTTGACAGAGGCAGGAGATAATAAATTAAAGATGGCTCACAAAAACATAATATAAAGTACAAAAAAATAACAATTGCTTTCATCTTAAGGCCTAAACCTGATAAGCAACTTGACTCAAGAGAGACTCCATCAGTGCCCTGGATGATGTGACACAAAATACTGAACCAGACTGTCGTTCAGTCTTTTAATGCAGGAGATGATTGGCTGGGCATAAATATTAATAGAGAGAAAATGATAATACAGTATTGAGCACCCTATGTTGAACATAGTTTGGCATTCCTAGATTTTCTGCAGTCTCTACATGACAATCATCATCTACATTTTTTAAGGATGGTAGCTGGTGAATTCTGACAGAACATTTTGAAAATGGACTCGTTAAATGAAACTTTTAGATTACTAGTGCTGGAGGGTTAATAACTCAGGAGACTTATGAAAGTCAAGCAGTATGTCCTTCAGGATCTTCCTCAGGCTGTGACTCACAATAGCCTAAATAGCCTACTGACTCCCAGATACCTATTTACTGCTAAGTAACCAGGAACAGCCAGTGCTTGGAGACTGTACAGTATTTCATTATATTTTCAACAGTTAAAAAAATATGAAATACATATACGTTGACAGATCATTATTGTATCAATAGAGTATAATCACAATTAGTAAACTGAAAGACAACATGACAGCTGAAACTGAGAGCACTTGAGTGTGTTGAGAGGTCAACAAATACTAAAGTGCTGACTCGTGCAGCAGAAAGCTAGGACTTTTATCAGTATCAAAGTGAGCATCTAATAATCATGATAAACTAGAAATGAACCCACAGTTGTTAACTAGTACCAATGGTTAATACAATTCATTGAATTCATAAAAAATATTTTAAAAGTAAAATGTGGGATGTGCAAACAAGATAGTATAGTGAGTAAGCACTGAGACCACTTACATGCATATAACGCTCAAGGGAATGTTCATTGAGTAAACTCCTTAACCAGGCACGTCCTCTTCCAACATCAGATGTAATATTTTTCAAAAGTAGAAAGCGCTCATATTCATGCCGGGTCAAGAGCTCTCGCACGTACCACCATAAAACTGAAAATGTAAGCGTTGAAATATAAACAAATTGATGATCATTCTGGAAATTAGTTCGGATGAATCAATACAGGAACTACAGGCAATCAAGTATACCCCTAAATGGTCGGTAGACAATGGTATAAACTGACAAGTACTTAATAAAGGCACATTTTAGATGAAATATCGCCAAATAAAGTTTTTGCCTGCTTAGTACATACCAGGCACTTCTGTGTCAGCTCCAGGAAGATTAAGGTGAAGATTTAATCCAGAGGTCACTATGCCTGTCACCTGTCTGTAAATAAGAGAAACTGTTAAAAAATAAAGATATCAGGGATGATAAAGGTGCATAGGTCTATGATGGAAGGGTAGGTTTCATTACAGGAATAGTTGGAGGGAAGAGGTGGAGAGAAATGGTGTAAATGCAGACATAATGAACAGATATAAATGCAGTATAATGTGATCCTTCACTGATAATACTGTGCCCACACAGTGGGTTTCATCAAGTCACAAATAGATCTCTCTGGGTAGAGAGGATATGCATATATACACAGCGAGTGAAATGGCATGAAGAGTCAGGTGAGGCGTGTTGAAGCTGACAGCCTGGATTGACTAATGAGGGTTTGAACATATGGCAGAGAAAAAGTTGGATTCAAGAGGGACATGTATAGTTTGGACAGTACACATGCAGTAAGTGTTAGGAGATTTTACTTATCCATAAAGAAAAACCATGCCATGGACTCTTGTGCTGCACATGATAATTTTTTTTTTTTCAAGAAGTCGGCCGTCTCCCACAGAGGCAGGGTGACCCAAAAAGAAAGAAAATCCCCAAAAAGAAAATACAGTGGTACCCCGAGTTTCGAACTGCTCCCAACTCGACCAATTATATAAGTGTATTATTGTAAGTGCTTTTGTAAGTGTATTTTTGGGGGTCTGAAATAGATTAATCTAATTTACATCATTCTGTATGAGAACAAATTCGTTTGGTAACGGCACTCGAACAGCCTTCTGGAACGAAGAAAGTTCGAAACTCAGGGTACCACTGTACTTTCATCATCATTCAACACTTTCACCTCACTCACACATAATCATTGTCTTTGCAGAGGTGCCCAGATACGACAGTTTAGAAGCATATTATAATATACCCCTCCAAACTGCCAATATCCCAAACCCCTCCTTCAAAGTGAAGGCATTGTACTTCCCATTTCCAGTACTCAAATCTGGCTATACATATAAAAATAACCGGTTTCCCTGAGTCCCTTCACTAAATATTACCAACAGCTCGTCAGGTCTCAAAAACCATTCGTCTCCATTCACTCCTATCTAACACACTCACGAACGCTTGCTGGAAGTCCAAGCCCCTTGCCCACAAAACATCCCTTATCCACTCCTTCCAACGTTTTCGAGAACGACCCCTACCTTGCCTTCCTTTCCTTACAGATTTATGTGCTCTCCATGTCATTCTACTTTGATCCATTCTCTCTAAATAACCAAACCACCTCAACAACCCCTCTCCAGCCCTCTGACTCCACACCTTCTCCTAATTTCCACACTCCGAATTTTCTGCATAATATTTACACCATACATTACCCTTAGACAGGACATCTCCACTGACTCCAACTGCCACCTCACTGCAGCATTTACAACCCAAGCTTCATACTCATATAAGAGAGTTGGTACCACTATACTTTCATACATTCCCTTCTTTGCCTCCATAGGTAACATTTTTTGTATCCACATATACCTCAACGCATCACTCACCTTTTTTCCTTCATCAATTCTATGGTTAACCTCATCCTTCATAAACCCATCCGCTGACACGTCAACTCCCAAATACGTATCTGAAAACATTCACTTCTTCCATACTCCCTCTTTCCAATGTGATATCCAATTTTTCTTTATCTAAATCATTTGATATCCTCATCACCTTACTCTTATCTATGTTCACTTTCAACTTTATACCTTTACACACACTCCCAAACTCGTTCACTAACCTTTGCAACTTTTCTTTAGAATCTCCCATAAGCACAGTATCATCAGCAAAAAGTAACTGTGTTAACTCCCATTTTGTATTTGATTTCTCATAATTTAATCCCATCCCTCTCCCCAACACCCTAACATTTACCTCTTTTACAACCCCATCTATAAATATATTAAACAACCATGGTGACATTACACATCCCTGTCTAAGACCTACTTTTACCGGGAAGTAATCTCCCTCTCTCCTACACACCCTAACCTGAGCCTCATTTTTTTTTTTTCAACAAGTCGGCCGTCTCCCACTGAGGCAGGGTGACCCCAAAAAAATAAAGAAAATCCCCAAAAAGAAAATACTTTCATCATTCAACACTTTCACCACAATCACACATTATCACTGTTTTTGCAGAGGTGCTCAGAATACAACAGTTTAGAAGCATACACATATAAAGATACACAACATATCCCTCCAAACTGCCTCACTATCCTCATAAAAGCTCTTTACAGCATTTAGTAACTTTCTACCTATTCCATATACTTGCAACATCTGCCACATTGCTCCCCTCTCCACTATCATATGCCTTTTCTAAATCCATAAATGCAATGAAAACTTCCCTACCTTTATCTAAATACTGTTCACATACATACTTCAATGTAAATACTTGATCTATACATCCCCTACCCACTCTAAAGCCTCCTTGCTCATCTGCAATCCTACTCTCTGTCTTACCTCTAATTCTTTCAATAATAACCCTACTGTATACTTTTCTTGGTATACTCAGTGAACTTATTCCCCTAAAATTTTTACAATCTCTTTTGTCCCCCTTCCCTTTATATAAAAGAACTATACATGCTCTCTGCCAATCCCTAAGTACCTTCCCCTCTTTCATACATTTATTAAACAAAAGTACCAACCACTCCAACAATATATCCCCTGCTGCTTTTAACATTTCTGTCATGATCCCATCAGTTCCAGCTGCTTTACCCCCTTTCATTCTATGTAATGCCTCATGCACCTCCCCCACACTCACATCCTGCACTTCTTCACTCCTGAAAGATGTTATGCCTCCCGGGCCAGTGCACAAAATTACCGCCTCCCTTTCTTCATCGACATTTAACCCTTTCAAGGTCCGTCCCGTAGATCTACGGCTTTACGTTCAGGGTCCAAACCGTAGATCTACGCCATGAGCTCAGCTCACTCTGATAAACTGTGAGTGGTACATTTGGGCCTAGATATGAGAGAATACATCTATGTGGTATGTGTGCACCACATAAAACAGATCCTGCAGCACACTGTGTATAATGAGAGAAAAAAAATGAAATCATGATTTTTCGATTAAAACAGCAACTTTGCAGTGTTTTTTCATATGTTTTTTATAGTTGTATTTGCGATTTCTTGGTCTCATTTGATAGAATGGAAGACATTTTACAGAAATAGAGATGATTTTGATTGGGTTTAGCATTGGAAATGGCTTGAAACTGAGCTCAAAGTAGCGGAAATGTTAAATTTTTGCCGATATTCAAGAGTAAACAAACGACCTCGCACGTCTAATACACGTCAGCTGGTGGGTCTAATATACATTCACAAATATGGTGATGATATTTATACAATTATTACAGTATCGCATAAGAGTAAATCTTCTATTTTTTGGTGTGAATAAAAATTCATTATGTGAATAAAAAATCAAAATGGAATTTATTTGTAAAGCCTCAAAACATAACTAATGAACAGAGGAAATGTTAGTTTAGTGCCAGGAATGCCTACATTGTTCATTCTGGACCCTATTTTGAAATTGGAATATTTTGAACTTTGTGTTAAATTGGCCAAATTAACAATTTCCGATCACTTTATTTTGTAGTTGAAACAGTTGACTTGGCGATTTCTTGTGCTCAATCGATAGAATAGAAGTAATACTAGTGAAATAGCTAAGAATTTGGTTGATTGGAATAATGTAATTGGCCTAAAATGGGAGTCAAAGTCGGCAAAATCGCCGATTCGTAAATATCGCTGACACATCAAAATTCGCGAGAGCATAATTTCGTCAATTTTCCACCAAATTTCGTACTTTTTGTTTTATTACCTTCACAAAAAGATTCTCTATGATTTCATAAGAAAAAATAACAAATTTTTTTTTTGAAAATTCTTGGACACTGGTGCGTGACTCCAGATTTGGGCCTTGGACCCTGAAAGGGTTAAAAGTTGCTCAAAATATTCCCACCATCTACCCAATACCTCCAGCTCCCCATCTACTAACTCCCCTACTCTGTTTTTAACTGACAAATCCATTGTTTCCCTAGGCTTTCTTAACTTGTTTATCTCACTCCAAATTTTTTTCTTATTTTCTGCAAAATTTCTTGACAGTGCCTCTCCCACTCTATCATCTGCTCTCCTTTTGCACTCTCTCACCACTCTCTTCACCTTTCTTTTACTCTCCATATACTCTGCTCTTCTTATAACACTTCTGCTTTGTAAAAACCTCTCATAAGCTATCTTTTTCTCTTTTATCACACCCTTTACTTCATCATTCCACCAATCACTCCTCTTTCCTCCTGCACCCACCCTCCTATAGCCACAAACTTCTGCCCTGCATTCTAATACTGTATTTTTAAAACTATTCAAACCTCCTTCAATTCCCCCCCCCCTACTCATACCTGCACTAGCCCACATTTCTGACAACAGTTGTTTATATCTCACCCTAACCTCCTCCTCCCTTAGTTTATACACCTTCACCTCTCTCTTACTTGCTGTTGCCATTTTCCTTTTGTCCCATCTACCTCTTACTCTAACTGTAGCTACAACTAAATAATGATCCAATATATCAGTTGCCCCTCTATATACATGTACATCCTGAAGCTTACCCATGAACCTTTTATCCACCAATACATAATCTAACAAACTACTTTCATCACATGCTATATCATACCTTGTATACTTATCCTCTTTTTCATAAAATATGTATTACTTATTACCAAACCTCTTTCTACACATAGCTCAATTAAAAGCTCCCCATTTTCATTTGCCCCTGCCATCACAAATTTACCTACTACTCCCTCCACAACATTTTTACCCACTTTAGCATTGAAATCCCCAACCACAAGTACTCTCTCACTTGGTTCAAAACTCCCCTTGCACTCACTCAACATTTCCCAAAATCTCCCTCTCTCTCCTCCACACTTCTCTCTTCTCCAGGTGCATAAATGCTTACTATAGCCCACTTTTCACATCCAACCCTTATTTTACACCACATAATCCTTGAATTTATACATTTATATTCCCTCTTTTCCTGCCATAACTTATCCTTCAACATTATTGCTACTCCTTCTTTAGCTCTAACCCTATTTTAAACCCCTGACCTAATCCCATTATTTCTCTCCACTGAAACTCTCCCACCCCTTTCAGCTTTGTTTCACTTAAAGCCAGGACATCCAGCTACTTCTTACTCATAACATACACAAATAACCCGCACATAAAAGACAGAAGCTTACGACGACGTTTCGGTCCGACTTGGACCATTGACAAAGTCACACTGTGACTTTGTCAATGGTCCAAGTCGGACCGAAACGTCGTCGTAAGCTTCTGTCTTTTATGTGCGGGTTATTTGTGTATCGTTCCAGTCACGGTATTGTGCCTTTTTGTTATTTACTCATAACATCCACAATCATCTCTTTCTTATCATTCGCACAACATCCACACACATTCAAACATCCCACTTTGATGGTTTACTTCTTTTTCTTTTTAGTAGGCAGTATGGGAAAAGGGGTTACTAGCCCATTGTTCCCGGCATTATAGTTGACTTTTACAACACACATGGCTTACGGAGGAAAGCTTTCTATTCCACTTCTCCATGGATATGAAAGGAAAAGCAATAAGAACAAGAACTTTCTTCTTTCAACAAACCGGCCGCATCCCACTGAGGCGGGGTGGCCCAAAAAGAAAAACAAAAGTTTCTCTTTTTGAATTTAGTAATTTATACAGGAGAAGGGGTTACTAGCCCCTTGCTCCCAGCATTTTAGTCGCCTCTTACAACACGCATGGCTTACGGAGGAAGAATTCTGTTCCACTTCCTCATGGAGATAAGAGGAAACAAACAAGAACAAGAACTAGGAAGAAAATAGAAGAAAACCCAGAGGGGTGTGTATACACAAATAACCCGCACATAGAAGAGAGGAGCTTACGACGATATTTCGGTCCGACTTGGACCATTTACAAAGTCACAGTGACTTTGTAAATGGTCCAAGTCGGACCGAAACGTCGTCGTAAGCTCCTCTATTCTATGTGCGGGTTATTTGTGTATTGTTCCAGTCACGGTATTGTGCCTTTTTTTGTTATTTAGGGGTGTGTATATATATACTTGTATATGTATGTGTAGTGTGACCTAAGTGTAAGTAGAAGTAGCAAGACATACCTGAAATCTTGCATGTTTATGAGACAAAAAAGACACCAGCAATCCTGCCATCATGTAAAACAAATACAGGCTTCCTTTTTACACTCACTTGGTAGGACTGTAGTACCTCCCTGGGTGGTTGCTGACTAACAGCCTACTATCTAATAATGATAATGTGCTTTGTTATACTAAAAATCAGTTACCACTTTGTAGGTAATCTTACAATGAAGCAATATCACCTACATATAGACTGTGTGCAGTCAACAAAAGTTAATCCTGCATGTACAGTATAATACCACAATAATGTGACAGGGCACGATCATGTTTGAGGCTTTGTAACTTACTATTAAAGATAAAAACACTGAATATACTTACTTAATTGCAGCAAGACCTCTGCTGGGGGAGCGTAGTTTGAGGCCATAGGAGAGTGCGCACTCAAGTTTAGCGCAGAGAGAAGCAACTCGTTCATCTGTCTCTGTTGCAAGCTCAGCACATCCTCCAAACCTCACCTGCAACAAATACATAAAGAAATACATAACACATTTAAGCTTCACTTTTTCTTCTGGCCTTTATTTTGTGGACAGATTATTTTGAGTAGCTTTAAATTGTGCTGTAGTGTATTTAGTTCAAAATCTGTAAAAAATAAAACATCGATATATAACTTCAATCTTTCTCTTCAGTGAAGCCAAATAACCCAAATTATATATACAATTACTGTCAGGTTCACATCCATATTGCATACAGTTCTATTTCTGTTTTACTTATCAAATAACTTCACTTCTAATTAGGAATATTTAAAAAAAAAAAATAAGTAAATTAACGACAAGCATTACAAATGCTTTGTACCTACAATCTACTGATTAAGCCTTAAAATCATACCGTAAGAAAAGTATAACTTAACACAAGAGTTAAATCAAAAAGTTAAACAGGACAGGTCTGGGTTTAAGCAGCTGACAGCAGTTTAAACAAGGGAAGAACAGGACTGCTTTCTGAAACACTTCAGATATAAAGAACACATTTAGTAAAGTAAAACCTGACCAGTTACATACTTAAAAGACCAAAAATGAGATGTAAGAGAGGTAAGCTGATGAAGATTGAAAATCTTCAATATACAATATCTTCTTCTTTCAACAAACCGGCAGTATCCCACCGAGGCAGGGTGCCCCCCCCCCCCAAAAAAAAAAAAAAAAAGTTTCTCTTTAACTTTAGCAATGTATACAGGAGAAGGGGCTACTAGCCCCTTGTTCCCAGCATTTTAGTCGCCTCTTACCACACACCTGGCTTGTGGAGGAAGAATTCTGTTCCACTTCCCCATGGAGAATATAAAATATATAAAAGTAAATTCTTCTTTTGTGTTGTAATAAGCAGTAAAACAAGGTTCGGTGAGGTATTTACCCTTTCCTCTATGAGCATTTGCCCTGCATGTATGGTTGCTTATCATGCCATCTATAGGCCAATAAATCAACAACTGTTGAATATCTTTAACCCGTAAATGGTCCAAACGTATATATACGTTTTTTCAACATTTGAAAGTATGTAAAAAAATAGATCATCTTTTTTTTACATTTGAAAACGTGTAAAAAACTTTGATCTACATTTTTTTTGTTGTTATATTTAAAAATATGTGAAAAAACATAGATCTACTTTTGGAGCACTATGCATATGAACGTAGATCTGCTTGGACCGTTTACGGGTTAAAGAAAAAAAAGTAATGATAAAAAAGTCACCGTTACTAAGAGAGGGTTGCCCAATCTTTCACGTTTCCCATATTCCCACGAACACAACGAAAAGATTTACTCACCCAAACGTTTGGAAAAAATAAACAACAACAAAAGGTTAAAATAAGCAAAGACCCAAAAAAGGAAGACATCTTAAAAGGACAAAATATAATTATTTCTCCATGCAAAAGCAAAAAAGAATCTTTCCTCTGTAAGTCATGCATGTCATAAAAGGTAACTAACCCTCTCTCTCCTGTATAAATTACTACATGTAAAGAGAAAAACTTTCATTTTTCTTTTTAGGTCAACGTGCTTTGGTGGGAGACTGCCGGTGCACTGAAAAAATAACAACTTTATTAAAAAAACAAAAATAAAAAGAATTACATACCTGACATCCTTGAACTGTTGAAAGCAAGCCAGACAAAAGTTCCTCTCTTTTAATGCTGTGAGGATCTGAAAAAAGATATATTTACCATCACACAATATAGCACATACTACCATACTACAATTTTTATCAGTGGGTTTAACAAGACATGTGCCAAACACTAGGACATATTTATTAGAAAACGTTTCAGTCCTGGGATCCTGATCAAGGACCCAGGACCAAAACATTTTCTAATAAATATGTCCTAGTGTTTGCTCACATGTCTTTTAAAATAATTATTTTTGGTATCAGTTACAAAGATTTATACAAATTTTATCAATGTAATGTGTAACCATAAGTAATATGGTTGTGATTACTTCATCATTTTCATCCAATTCTGTCTTATCATAATGAATGAAGGAGGAAAGAGATACATTGCTTGGTCACACAATGACTGAAAAACATCCAGTATAAAATGTGTCACTAAGGCATGTATGAGATACAAGGTACTAATTACTGTCTGGTACTATGAAAATAAAATAATATCACTATGGCACAACTTAAAAAAAAAAAAATGCCCCATATTATTGATTTGAGCATCACGTTGAGAAGTTAAGAGAATAAGTGTAATGAGTTTGGTATTACTATGCCGACTTATTGCTCCAGAAGGCTGAATACAATCCCCCACCAATAAATAAAAAAAAAATTACCTAACAATTAAGAGAGAGACATACAACTCAACAGCAGTCCCAGGCTACATTTGGCTAATGTACACAATCACTGAGTCTGAGGGCTTATCAAAGAAGTTTTCTCAAGCTAGTGCTTAGAAACCACACAAAGAAAATTCAAGTATACTATATTAAACACCAAAATGTAAATTTCATAACTGTTAAGTACAGTGGTCCCTCGTTTTTCGTAATTAATCCATTCCTGGAGGAGCTACTATAAACGAAATTTACGATTTGCGAATCAATTTTCCCCATAAGAAATAATGTAAATACAATTAATCCGTTTCTGACACTCAGAAGTATTAAAACAAAAAAATTTTTTACATGAAATATACATGTAGTACATAAACAGTACAATGGGAAATGATGAATGAAACATTAACAGCATAACACTTACCTTTATTGGAGATTCTTCTTAGTGTATGGGAGACTGGAGGAGGAGAGAGATTGGATTGTTTACAGTTTGGAAGGGGAATCCCCTTCCAGCAACACCTCAGGTACCAATTGCTTCTCTGGGGTTGCTTCTCTTCTCTGTTTCTTAATGCCACTAGGACCACCTTGAGAGTCACTCTAGTCCTGTTTCGCAAAGTAACTGTGAAGAGAGCTCTGTTTCTGGCGTCTCTTTAACACTTCCCTAAAATGGTACAAGACTTTGTCACTGTACATATTTCTCACCTTCTTTACCACAGGCTTGGCACTAGGAGCTTTCTTTGGAGCCATGGTAGCTTATTTAGTACTTGCAAGCACTAAAATGAGTGGAATATTATGAAATATTTCGTAGGAGCACTTGAGGGGACCTTCACTCACTGGTAAACAATGCCAGACTGGCTGGGTAGGGAGGCCTCCCCTGCTCACACCGTGCGTAAACGTCCTGGACGAACTACTATTCGCGAGTCAACCTATGAAAAGCGAGTCCATGTTTATACGAAAATACCCCTATGATTGGCGAAATTTACGATTGCCGAGAACTACGAAAAGCGAGGGACCACTGTATTTCCTTTCCAGTGTTACCTAATTATGTGCAAATCTCAATAAAAAATAATGAGTAATATTTACCATTGTCTGAAGTTGAAGACATTATAATCTTCTTATAAAGGTTCTTGCTACTTCAACATTGAAATGCAATGTACTTCACATTTCTTCTGGAATAATGCACACAAATATTAGAACAGGAATGGCAGCTTGCCTATATTGAATCAACTCTTTATTTGTGTGTACTTCTATATTACAATATATTATTATTGCAAAACACTAAACCCCCTAAGGGTCATACAATGCCTGGGAAATGGATGGCAATCAGGCATGATCTGAGGAATGGGAGGTATACAGTATTGCATTACAACTCACTTTCCACAAGTTCAGTCCCTTCCTGTGGTATGGTTTGTATTATAAAAGTTTGGTTTTGCAATTGCATAGTTTATTTCTTGACATATGTCTCTAAGAGGCATGTGTGTGGAGTAATAATAAGAGTGGAGTGGAGGGGAGGGGAAGGGAAAGAGTTCAAGATGGCATACTGCCATCTTGATAGAATGGAAGACATATTACAGAAACAGATATGATTTTGATTGGTTTCACAGTGAAGAGTACCTTGAAATTGAGCTCAAAGTAGCAGAAATGTTCAATTTTTTCCAATGTTCAAGAGTAAACAAATCACGCCACGCGTCCAATACATGTCAACTGGTGAGTCTAATACAGTGGAACCTCAAATATCGAACTGCTCCCAACTCAACCAATTATATAAGTGTATTTTTGTAAGTGCTTTTGTAAGTGTATTTTTGAGGGTCTGAAATGAACTAATCTAATTTACATTATTCCTGATGGGAATAAATTCGTTCGGTAACGGCACTTGAACAGCTGTCTGGAATTAAGAAAGTTTGATATTTGAGGTTCCACTGTATTCTTTTACAAGCGTGCTGATATTATTTATACCATTTTTACAATAATGCAGTAGTCTGCATAACAGTTTAATCTTCTATTTTTTTGAGAATAAAAATTCAAAATGGAAAGCAAGAGTAATATAAGAATGGCCTGGAGATGTGACTAATGAACAGAGAAAATGTTATTTTAGTGCCAAGAATGTGTGTATTGTTTATTCTGGACCCTATTTTGAAATTGGCATCTTTTGAAATTTGGGTGAAATTGGCCAAATTGCCAAATTCTGACCACTTTATTGGGTAACTGAAATCGGTAAATGGGCGGTTTCTTGTATTCAATTGATAGAACAAATGGAGTTCTAGCAAAATAGCTATGATTTTAGGTGACTGGAACAATGGAATTGGCTGAAAACAGGGCTCAAAGTGGGTGAAATCGTTGATGAGTAAATATCGCCAATATCGCAAACTTCACGAGAGCGTAATTTCATAAGTTTTCCATCAAATTTTGTACTTTTGGTGTCATTACCATTGGGAACAGATTATCATTTCATAAGATTTTTTTTTTTTTTTTAAATTTTTCGACCCCGAGAGAGAGTTAAGGATCGGGGGTCTCGACCCTCAAAGGATTAATGTCCCACTGCGTAAACTGTTAGATTAAAATAAAAATAGCGAACAAGTAAACAAAGAATAATTATCTCCACGAGTGATCATATGGGTATTTGCAACTTAATTCCAAGAAATAGCTTTCATAAAATATCAGGCCACAAACATGCATAATCCAGACAAAATAATAATTAGAACAGTTAAAAGTTCCATCATAAACAAATTATATAATTAGTAAATAGCTAACCACTAACAAACTACTACTTTAACCTACACTGAATAAATTAAACTCTTAATTGATACTCAGCCACTCTGTATTGCATATAATCTTACGTGACTGCTCAGTAATTACAAGCTCTTGAGAGTAAGCTCATCTGTTTTAAATGTTTGGGCTTCAAATTCTACTTTGGAAGTGGACAATCAATGTACTGCAATTCTTGGATAAAACAAATAACGTTAATGCAGGTCTTGAGTTTCAAAAGTGACAAGGTCTTAAGTCTGAATGAGACTGCAATGGTGAACCATAATTAAAGCTTCCTGAACTTACTCAAGCTGTATTCAAACTTTCTTAACAACCTCTTACTAAAGATAATTAATAGAAAGAGCTCTGACAAGTTTTCTATCATTTTATCCTTTGGCAGGAAATTTCATATTGTACAGTTATACATGCCTCTGCTGCACAACTGCAACAAAGCAGAGCCTCTGTGTACTAGAATTCATTCATAGCACAAACACCTATTGTGTGGAGCTTTCTTCCAGGATAAATATTATCTTTCACCATGTTTCTTCCACAAACTTGTCATATTCTCAGGTGACTATATAAACGAAAGCCTGTGTCTCTCCTGCATAATGTAATAAAAAGTTTTAATTTTCATTCTTACTCAAAGGATAATGGACATTTTATTCAAAACAAGTACAATATGCAATGCATTAATTACACTATAGAAGACCAATTAAATACATAAAATAGCTTACCAGCATAAAGACATGAAGCCACATCACAAATCCTTAAATGCCTATATGCAATAACTTATGTATTTTGTCCATTGTCATCTTCATTTTTGAAATGTTGATTATCTGTAATGATATAAATCATAAGTAATTGAGATTGCAAGAGGTTAGATGATTAAAAGAATCATACAGCCTCAACTTCATTATTTGTTTTTAAATAGGATATTTAATTTCAAAAATACAAAGTGCTGGCAGCAAAAATATGGCAATGCATGGTGACTACATGTGGACCAATTCATTTATTATTATGATTATTATTATTATTTGTGTGAAAGTGTTAATCTCATAAAGGTCATAAAATGCCTGGTGAATGTTATTAGATGTGATTCAAGGAAGGAAAATGTAGCTATGATTCCTTCGATTATTAGCCCATCACCTTCATGAAGGTACTCCTGCTTCAAAAGTGAGGGAACACAGAAATATCCTGGGTCATCAACATAAAATGTCATTAGTAAGGCTAAGGTAAGGGTCACTTACCATCATGTCATATAGGACTGGTATTATATTTGCAAAATCCTAGGGTCAGTAATTACATCAATAATGTATACATAGGGAAACCACTGAACCCTTCAGGGGCATACAGTGCCAGGGAATTGCAGGCAATCAGGTTTGATCCAAGGAAGGGGAGGGGTAACTCCAATTCTTTAGATCAACAAGAATTCACCAGAATCAAGGCAACCTCCCCCTTGAAGGGTTAACTCGTCAAAAAAATGCCTCCTATTAGTAAATCTATAAAAATTACATAAAATACAGCATGAAATTACTATTATTAAATTCAAAATGCAAATTGCTTTTTGTTTTTCCAACACATCGGCCATTTCCCCCCGAGGCAGGGTCACCCAAAAAAGAAACACTTTCACCATCATTCACATATAATCACTGTCTTTGCAGAGGTGCCCAAATACAAGAGTTCATATGTCACTCCAAACAGCCAATATTTGAAACCCCTCCTTTACAGTGCAGGCACTGTACTTCCCACCTCCTGGACTAAAGTCCGGCCAACCAGTTTCCCTGAATTCCTTCACAAAATATTACCCTGCTCACACTCCAACTAATTAAATTCATTAGATGTTAATCATGAAAAATGCCTGGCAAAAATAGGAATTGTCTTCATTGTATTAATTATAACTCAGCTACATAAAATTATTTTATACCCATGAAAAAATGTACAAAATATGACACATTACAGTTAACTTAACACATTTTTTTTTTTTAACAAGTCAGCCGTCTCCCACCAAGGCAGGGTGACCCAAAAAGAAAGAAAATCCCCAAATAGAAAATACTTTCATCATCGTTCAACACTTTCACCTCACTCACACATAATCACTGTTTTTGCAGAGGTGCTCAGAACACAACAGTTTAGAAGCATATACCTATAAAGATACACAACATATCCCTCCAAACTGCTAATATCATATATTAACATATATTAAAAAACAAGAACTCTACCCATATAGGTTATGCAGTGATGTATTAGTTATTACTGTTATGTGTAAGAGTAGAAGACTGCTCCTCTGTGAATCTTGACCATAACTATACATAGTTTGAACTGCACAATATTAAGTCTACTTTACCATCAAGACATTTTATTGTGCAAATATTAAAAGATGAATCCTAACGAAACCCACCAACCTAAAATAATGTAACCTAGCACAACCATCCATCCTGGCAAATCTTTCCTTACATTAAGACATAACTAAATGCTATGCACTGACTGGCTAAGACATGCTGTGCAATCAAAACTAATACACTATTTTTGCTAATATAGCAAGAAATACTTATTTTCGTGGTGTTAGTAGGTTGTACTGTGAAATGTAACCTAATGCCGGGGTTAGTAAGTAAGTAAGTTTATTCAGGTATACACAAATACAGTTACATAGAATTATCGTACATAGCAGCATATGTGTAGAGAACCTAGGATAACCCAAAAAAGTCAGACAGAGTGACTCATTTCCATTGGGGTTGTGCCAGCAGTAGTCGTATAGCCTTACTATATTTAGGGAAGTGTTAAACTCGTAGGGGTAATACAACTCCTAGGGTATAAGAAGACAGTAGTTTCATTCCAGGGAAGGACAGGGTCAATTCCTGGGATCAAGAACCCCCTGACTGGCATCAACGTATCTTCCTTGATGACCATATCACTGTTAATACTTCGTAAATGAACATATAACTATTACGAAACTTTAAATCTACCTAAGACTCCTCGATACTTACAGGTCAACGTCACTATCATTGAATAACTGGGCTGTTATAGGCCGCCACGACACATTACGCTGACCTCTACCTCCTCTTGTCTCCAGGAAATCTAATGCCAAAACCCGGGTTCAAAAAGAGTATAAAAAAAAAAAGTTCTGAAACAAGGAGAAAAACAAATGTTGAGTAGTGTTTGTGAGGTGAAAACATCTCCGCCCATCATCATAAACCCGGGTCATGAACCCTCTCTTGTCATTATCATTATTATCTTCCTCGTCTTCATGCAGAATTATATCTATAAAGAAGTTAGAGCGTCTTATTTCACGTGTCATTTATAGCAGAGCGTAGAATTAGTGATGATTCATTGGGAAAATTATTATATGGTGCATGGAAATCTTTGCCATTATGTGAACGGGCTATAGATTTGTTGTGAACTTTGTCCTTTTTTAATTAATAATAATAATAATAATATAATGATAATAAAGAGATGTAACGTAATGCCAGTGAATAGTAAGTAATATTATTAAGGCACAGGTACACGTAAGCACAATTATCATACAGTGTAAATTACCTAGAATAACATAAAAAAAGTCAGTAACATATTTCCATTGGGGTCCTTGACTTATTCCCATTGAGCTCTTGATCTAAGGAGTTAAAGTTGCCCTCCCATTATATGCATCAAACCTAACTGCCTCCCATTTCCCAGGTACTGGATGCCCCATTGGGAATTTCTGTCTTATGAATCTAGTAATAGAGACCATCCTCTTAATCACAGTGCTTATTTCACTGTTGTAAAGAGAATCAAAAGGGTGACTGAAGAGGTGCTTTAAAACAATGAAAATCTGATATAGTTAATTTTACAGTGTCCAGAATATCTTGCTGCTAATTTTGTCAAGGTTGGGAACCGAAGCAATCATAGTACTAGGGGCAGACAGCACAACTTTGTAGTACCCAGTCAGTAGCCAGGCTTCAAACACCTTTTATTGTACAGCAATAAAGAAATGGAGCAGACTGCCTGCACATGTCAAAGCCAGTCATAGCATGAACCAGTTCAAGAAGAGAGCCAAAAGGTTCCTAATGAATGTAGTGACAGAAAGGAAGAATGGTTTTTTATTTTTTTTAGCTAACACTTATGTAAATATAAATAACTTTTTACCTTATTCCTAGTATTATCCTTTATAGTATGATAATCTATGTAACTGTATTTGTGTTAACCTGAATAAAGTTACTTAATCAGGAAACAAGGCTCAGTGCAACGTAAGCTGTCACTGACCCTTATAACCCACAACAAGGGGAAAAAAAAAACGGACTTCAGCGACAGCATTAATATGCCGACGTGTTTCCTCGGGGAGTAAAGCGCCTGACTGCTGGTGTTTAAACCTGTGGTCCACATGACATAAATTGAGAATTTAATTTTGCAGTTTGTCTCTTTCCGGGAGACACTATATTTCCTTTCTATTCTCACACATATTTGGCCAACATATTTTTCCCTAACCAGGAGGCAAGGCGCAATAAAAGTAAGCTTTGATGGCCCTTAACAATCCCAACAACAAACTAGTAAAAAGCAAAAACATGATTTTTTGGAAACCTCTCAGTAAACTGCAACTATTTTGAAGAAGCAGTGCCCTCCACGTACTTCAAGGCGAAAAGATCCAAAAATTCCATTATCAACAATTTTTCCCAAGGGCAGTTCTGCATATATTATTACAAGATCCAATAATTTACCACTAGGGGTTTCAGAAGTGGTCTCTGAGAACTTGTTTTAATCTATACAAAAAATACTAAAATCAGAAAATGAAAACCATTAAAATTTTTTATAGTGGAGAGGAAAATTTCCCTTTCATTTTAAAAGGTAAATACTTTAAGTCGTCAGGTTTTCAAATTAAATTTGTAACTGTTTGTAGTGAAACTTTATTTAGTTTTGGGCATTACTATTTGATGTTTTTAATTGAAAGACCAACAATTATTACGTAATTAGAAATGGGGTCCTGTAAAAAATAAAAAATGCTCGTAAAAGTAGGTGGGTTCGTGGCTCAGTAAGTAGAGATTTATGCCATTTTTTACATTGAGAGACTGATACCTCATCTTCTTCTGTGTTATGTTTTAATTCTACAGTCTTCATTTATTCAATAATTTCACAAAATCAAAAACCCAATTTACCATTGGGTTTGTAAGGGTGTTTGAAAATCATTAGGGAATTCTCCGTGATGCATCCTTACTACATTCTGGGGATTTTAGGTTTACTCCTGGGACGGGTCAAACATTGGGCAGTTCCTTTTGCCCGCGTCCCCTTTTACCTGAGTAAAACTTACCTGCATTTTTCACTGCTTGGTCGCATCCTGATTTACTACCCCTCTGGGTTAATAACCTAACAAAATTTTTTTCATACTAAAAGAGCCAGAAATATAAAAAAATAATAAAAAAAATAAAGTACTCTTAATAACAATAATGATAACTGTAAAATTTTTTAAAAACGTTGTTTAACAAAATTTATTTCAGCTCACTCCAGTGACAACTCATGATTAATGGATCGAAATCTTAAAAAACTCCCCAAGAGACTTGCCTTCTTAAGCAAGGCTTCTCATACAAAACGCTGAGAACAAAAGATGCAAAGAAACATATTTGCAGTTCAAAAAGGGAAAAATTGGGGTGAAGCAAATTTTCAAAAAAAATGTTTTTTTTAGAACGGAAAAAATTTTAAAATTGAGAAGGGGAACTATTTCGTTTATACCCCGACTCACTATAATGTAAAAAACATTATGAGTGGGAAACAGAAGCCTGTTCAATGTTTTGCACACTTGTAAGATTACTTGTCTTTTCATTGTTTACTGAAGATGCTAGACGACAAGTAAATCATACAAATTTCTATGTACAATCAATATAAAATGATGAAAGTTTTTCTTTTTCGGGCCACCCTGTCTTGGTGGGAAATGGTCGGTGTGTTAATAAAAAAAGGTGTTAATAATAAAAAAATCAATATAAACTTAACTATATTTTCCTACATATTTCTTAATAGTTCTTAATAATGTACGCGAACTTTCAGTTTATAAGTCCCAGTCGAAGAATGAATCATGGGGACAGTTATCCCAGGAACCATTGTTTGATATAATGGACTTACAGTAGCACTATTCTGTTCACATTTAAATCTTTAATGACAAATATTGTTCTTCACTAAAAGTATCAGTTAGCAATAATAATAAAACATTATCATTTCTGTTTTAGCTTAAAACCAGAATACTTATCTCTTAATGAATGGCACTTTGTAATTATGAGTATTGCAAAGATTTTTCTTTTCTGTAAACAGTAAATGAATACTTTATTATTTTTAGTATCATATGCCTCTTCTATTTCCCCATGATGATGGTGATGATAATGATAATAACATGCCTCTTCATCTTGTGCAGGTGTCCTACGAGGCTGCAGTCAGTGAAACACTGGAGGGAGCTATTCATGACCTGCAATCAAAGTCAAAGAAAATTCACAATCTTAATGATGAACTGGTCGAGAAATCCAAAAGTGTGTAAAGTAGTTTGTTAGCTTTGTTTGCAATAAAATGGCTATAATTTTTTCTGTGAAAATAGCCAGATGAGTTTGCAGTACAGCCTCTCTTCACTTAACGATGTACTCATTTACCAACGACTCGGACTTACGATGGGGTCTCTGACCAGTATGCATACCTAAATATGTAATGTATATTAGAGCTGATTTCCTCTATTCTGTTTATTACAATATACAGTACACTACTGTATTTTTTTTTTTAACAAGTCAGCCGTCTCCCACCGAGGCAGGGTGACCCAAAAAGAAAGAAAATCCCCAAAAAGAAAATACTTTCATCATCATTCAACACTTTCACCTCATTCACACATAATCACTGTTTTTGCAGAGGTGCTCAGAACACAACAGTTTAGAAGCATATACCTATAAAGGTACACAACATATCCCTCCAAACTGCTAATATCCTGAACCCCTCCTTTAGAATGCAGGCATTGTACTTCCCATTCCCAGGACTCAAGTCCGGCTATATAAAAATAACCGGTTTCCCTGAATCCCTTCACTAAATATTACCCTGCTCACACTTCAACAGATCGTCAGGTCCCGAATACCATTCGTCTCCATTCACTCCTATCGAACACACTCATGCACGCCTGCTCGAAGTCCAAGCCCCTCGCCCACAAAACCTCCCTTACCCCTTCCTTCCAACCTTTTCAAAGACAACTCCTACCCCGCCTTCCTTCTCCTACAGATTTAAATGCTCTCCATGTCATTCTACTCTGATCCATTCTCTCTAAATGACCAAACCACCTCAACAACCCCTCTTCAGCCCTCTGTGCTGTATAGTCCTTGTGGCTTAGTGCTTCTTTTTGATTATAATAATAATTCAGCCCTCTGACTAATACTTTTATTAACTCCACACCTTCTCCTAATTTCCACACTCTGAATTTTCTGCATAATATTTACACCACATATTGCCCTTGGACAGGACATCTCCACTGCCTCCAACCGCCTCCTCGCTGCTGCATTCACAACCCAAGCTTCACACCCATATAAGAGTGTTGGTACTACTATACTTTCATACATTCCCTTCTTTGCCTCCATAGATAACGTTTTTTGATTCCACATATACCTCAACGCACCACTCACCTTTTTTCCCTCATCAATTCTATGATTAACCTCATCCTTCATAAATCCATCCGCTGACACGTCAACTCCCAAGTATCTGAAAACATTCACTTCTTCCATACTCCTCCCCAATTTGATATCCAGTTTTTCTTTATCTAAATCATTTGATACCCTCATCAGTTTACTCTTTTCTATGTTCACTTTCAACTTTCTACCTTTACACACACTCCCAAACTCATCCACTAACCTTTGCAATTTTTCTTTAGAATCTCCCATAACCACAGTATCATCAGCAAAAAGTAATTGTGTCAATTCCCATTTTGTATTTGATTCCCCATAATTTAATCCCACCCCTCTCCCGAACACCCTAGCATTTACTTCTTTTACAACCCCATCTATAAATATATTAAACAACCATGGTGACATTACACATCCCTGTCTAAGACCTACTTTTACCGGGAAGTAGTCTCCCTCTCTTCTACACAACCTAACCTGAGCCTCACTATCCTCACTGTATAAACATTTAAAAATATACAAAAATTTTTATAAATGGTGCAAAGGTGACACTAAAAAATATCAAAGATGGTTGACACAAACCCATTACCATTATAGTATGATCCTTGCTTAGCGACAAATTCGTTTACCGACGTGGTCTTAGGAACGGAACTCTCTTGTTAAGTGAGGAGAGTCTGTATTCAGTATTGCATCTGTGTGGACTATTTAAAGATTCATGTTCTCACAGCAGTCAGTAAGCTTTGAAATTAAAATTAGTAACTAGGCTCACAATGCCTGTAGATAAACTTAAGCTCTTTTCCCATGAGTTACTACTGTAGTTCCAGCTCAACTCTGAAAGGAGATACAGTTTGTGCTGTGTTGAGAGGAATATGGTATGGTATATGATTATTATTTTGGTAACTCTGAGGGAGCAGGATTTATTAGTTGTAATTGTTGTCATAATCAGTACATAATTTCATAGAAAATCAAAGGCAGGTAGAGAGGCCAAGCTTATGTTAAAACAAGGTTTCACTTAGTTATGAGGTAGCCTTTTAAAGGCTGTTATAAGCACAGATGAGCAGTATGACCATACCACAGCCAGGAAGGGTAAATAATAGTTGTGATATAATTCTAGCTGGATTACACAGTCCCTGATTCTGAGATGCATCTTTTGGTATTCAAAATGCAGTTCTTGGGGTCTTTTTTCAGGAAATATTCCCAGGCATGCCTCTTAAAGCAAAATATAAAATTTATAACCATTTATCAATCATTTTAAATCTTTAAAAATATTTTCATGCACTATCATGTACGTACAGTACATTCTAAGACTCTTCTGATATGTCACAATATTTATATTATGCAACATTTGCTTTTGAAGTTACCTTCAGAAAATCAAGTTTTATAAGCTTCACACTTCATTTTTTCTCCTTAGAACTAGACGAAGCCATGGATTTAGCAGCAAGAAGTGTAATTGCAAAAGAGGAATTTGAGAAAGAGATTTATGGCAAGTGTGCAGCTATTATAAATGCCAAGAAACTCAGAATACAGCATTTAAAATCAAATCACCCAAGCAGCACAGGTTAGTCCTATTACAACACATTTTGAGAAAACACTTTGATAGAAAACTAAAAAGCAGATAAAAGAGATCTCTATATTTCTGTCTAGTTGCTGAATCAACCAGGCTCTGATGGGTATGTGGGCCAGCAGGCCACCAGCCTGGTTGACCAGACAAGCCTGGTCCAGGGCTAGGACTGAAGAGGTAGAAAAACTCTCAAAACCATCAAGTGTATATTAACCCTTAAACTGTCCAAACGTAGATCTGCGTAGTGCTCCGAGTGTAGATCTACATTTTTTTTTTACATGTGAAAGCATTTAAAATAAAACGTAGATCTACATTCGGAGCACTTCGCACGTGAACGTAGGTCTATGTTTGGACAGTTTAAGGGTTAAAGGTATAAAGTCAACAGATATGCTAATAAGGGTATCTAACTGAGGCCATAATATACAGATCTCACTTACCTGTATATTATTTTATCTTCAAGGTGACCAGCTTGGTAACAGAGAAGTTAACAGTGATCCTATGGACATCTGACCCAGCCCATTATAGAACATAAACTGCACTTTAGAGTTTTCTCCTTAAGGTCTTCAACTACCTCATTCATGATGTTGTGTACTGGCAGTAGAATTACTGTAAGCATTAAATGGAATCTTAAACACATGATATCCACCATTTCACATTGACATCTGTTTCTCATCAGATTTTACCTACTGCAGTTGGTGTTGCAGAGAGTAAAGGAGTACAGATGCATAGGAGTAGGGAAAACCAGACATACTAGGTAAAAAGTGATGACAGTCTATATACATCTAAGTAGTAGGTTGGTAGACAGCAAACGCCCAGGGAGGTACTACCATCCTGCCAAGGGAGTGTGAAACGGAAGCCTGTAATTGTTTTATATGGTGTCTTTTTTCTGTCTCATAAACATGCAAGATTTCAGGTACATCTTGCTACTTCTACTTACACTTAAGTCACACTACACATGCATGTACAAGCGTATATATACACACACCCCTCTGCGTTTTCTTTTTTATTTCCTCTTATCTCTATGGGGAAGTGGAACAGAATTCTTCCTCCATAAGCCATGCATGTCATAAGAGGCGACAAATGCCAGGAGCAAGGGGCTAATAACCCCCTTTTCCTGTATACATTACTATATTCATAAAGAGAAACTTTTGTTTTTCTTTTTGGGCCACCCTGCTTCAGTGGGACACAGCTGGTGCATTGAAAGAAAGAGTCTATATACTGATGTATTACTACTGACAGATTGTTATTCCTATTTGTACTTCATGGAATATCTCAGAGAAATTAGCTTTTCATCCTTTAAAAAGTCTTAATGTTAGGAACATTTTTTCTCTGTAGTTTTTTAACATGCTGGCCATCTCTCACCGAGGCAGGGTGACTCAAAAAAAAAGAAACATTTGCACCATTCACACTTTCACTGTCTTGCTTGAAAGTACAGTTTCATACACATTTTGATTTTTCTAATTACACCCATAAAATTACATGTAAGACTTGTTGCATCTTGCAACAAGTCTTACATGTAATTATTCTACAAGACATTTGCCTGTTACCTGTGTGTAATTTACCTACGCAAACATTCAGTCCTTTGTGTCTATATCATACTCATTCTCATAGCTTATAGATCAGACTTCATCTGACTTGTCATTATCTTGCACTATAAATATAAGCTTTTTGCCTGGGTATGAGTGATGATCCTCCCAAAACCACTAACAGATATAACTTGAAGAAAACACCAGTAATTTCATAATATGCTGGAATGTATTTTTCATGACAAAATGTATTATGCCACATTTGGAAATATGTATATTGCATTTTAATTGTGGAATGCTGACTATTTCTTGATTTTTCTTATCAATCCAGTAGGCAGACCAGAAGGCCTCGTTAGAGCAACTGAGTATACAGTATCAACTTCTCAACCCTCCAAGAAAGCCAAATATGGGAACAGTGATAGTGATTGTTATGACACAGACACTGATGTTGATGATCCTGATAAAGAAGACATGGATACAGATGAAGAAAACAAAGTCAGCTGCTCAACATCCAAACAGAAACAACAGCCCAAAGGGACTGTGCATGTGACAGGCAAGGGTAAGGAACCAGTGACTGCTGTGAGCTCCCAAGATGATTTCTTTAATGACAGCTTAGAGGCTGAACTTTATCCTTTAGTTACAAGCATTAAAAAGCAAAATATACCCAAAGGGACCAATAAAAATGGTACACATTCCCTAAAAACTTCTCAAGCTAATAAAGGCAAATCATCAGAAGCAGTGAGTTCAAGTGGAAATTTACAGAAGTCTCTTGCAGACCCAGGAAGCTCACAAAAGTCTATAATTGATGAGCTCTTTTAAATATGTCTTTTTATGAACGTTGGGACGTAGCGGTGAAATTGCATTTTTATTCTTTTTACCTTTTATGAACAACATTATTGTTACAATTAGTTACTCACATATTTTATGTAATACTATTTGTGCTTAATGACAAGAGGACTAAGAAAAATATATTAGCTATTTAGAAAAATTGATTACATTGATCATGGTGCCTTTTAAACATGTGCCTTTTAATTGCTTTAATTGTATGCTAGTCAGTCCTTGTACAAAAATCTTAAGCTGTATTTTATGGTTTCACACTGAAAGGGAAGTACTGTATTGGGTTTTTAGATAAATAAAAACTAAGCATGAAAGAAATAATGCACTGCACTTATTTTCGATTACAAACACAAAATGTAATTATTTTGACAGCATTTGAAATAGAGTGTAATGTAGCAGATCACCTGTTATCAGGTGATGGGCTGTCCTGTGTCCAACATTATCTGGCAGTCTTGTGGGAGCTGGCATCTAAACAGATAATGCTGGAAAAAGGAATGTGCAATAAAAAGGGACCATAAAAACTGAGGTGCTCATTTGGAGTTGTTGAAAAATCCGGCACACTCTTTCCCTGAGGATGCTGGGTAATTATTGATGATTTTTTTCTTTTAACAAACCAGCCATATCCCACCGAGGAAAGGTGACTTAAAAAGAAAAACGAAAGTTTCTCTTTTTAAATTTAGTAATGTATACAGGAGAAGGGGTTACTAGCCCCTTGCTTCTGGCAATTATTGATGATCTACTGTATGTGTCATGGATAATTTAAAAGCTTTGATTCTCCCTGTTTTTATGTACACTATATTTTTTTAATGTTTATTGTAGGAGTAATAATGCAATATGAGAGGTGGTAACTAGGATAAACTCTTAGAAAGCACTGACATTAACTTTCTATGCATGAAAGCCAATAATACACAAATTGTTTGTTTTCCCTCACCTGTCTGTTTGTCTGTGCGTCTGTCCTTCCCACCTCAATTCAGCATCGTCAACCATTATTTATTTTTCTTTTCATGTTTTTCTCAGCTCAAGTGTAACTATAGATATATATATTTATGTGCTCATACATGCTAGCGGCTTTCTTTATGCTTAACAGTATTTTCCACATGTAGACTACACGTTGTACACTATGCAAAGAAATAAATACGAACAGTGGACCCCCGGTTAACGATATTTTTTCATTCCAGAAGTATGTTCAGGTGCCAGTACTGACCGAATTTGTTCCCATAAGGAATATTGTGAAGTAGATTAGTCCATTTCAGACCCCGAAACATTCACGTACAAACGCACTTACATAAATACACTTACATAATTGGTCGCATTGGGAGGTGATCGTTAAGCGGGGGTCCACTGTATTTGAACTGGAAGCACTTTGATGCTGGTTAAGGGCTCTTGATTCAAGGAAAGTCCCTTGAAGTGGGAAGGGCCTTGATGCTGATCAAGGGTTGTTGATTCAAGGAATAAAAGCTACCCTCCATTTTATTGGATTTAACCTAATTAGTTTTCATTTCCAAGGTGTTGTATGGCCCCTACAGATTTAGCACTTCCCTATGACTACAATAATAATGATATTAATAAGTTGTAGGAGTGATGGACATATTTATTTTCTAATTTTATGATATTTTATGTATATTGTGATATTAGATTTTGCACACAAACATACACTTGCTGTCGCATTTTGTGATTAAATGTAATACTACTGCAAATTTTAATGTAGATGATATATTGTACTAAGTCTTCAATAAATTAGAATAAAAAAGACAGAACTATGTTACTTGCCTTAATGTAAATTACATCAGAGGGAAGTTTTTTTTTTTTTTTACCACATCGGCTGTTTCCCACCTAAGCAGGGTGACCTGAAAAAGAAGAAACACTTTCATCATCACTCATTCCATCAGTCTTGCCAGAGGCATGCTGATACTAAAGTTCAAAAAGTGCAACATATTTCCATCCATCCTTCAGGGTGCAGGCACTGTACCTCCCACCTCCAGGACTCAAGTCTGGAAGTATCAAATATCATTGGCCATAAGTATCTGAACCATAAATCAGTTTTATACATAGCCCTTTTCTTAAGTTGTCTACTTGAAACCTTGTGGCCCCATCATCACTAAAGTCCACCAATATTTCTACTTCGAGTGGAATTAACTGAATCCGTGAATACCTCCCATTTATAAAAAAAAATTACTACCGTTTCAAAAACATAAAAGCACTTTACTTATTTTCTTCTTCTTTCTGTCAACACACGGCCGTATCCCACCGAGGTGGGGTGGCCCAAAAGGAAAAATGAAAGTTTCTCCTTTTACATTTAGTAATATATATAGGAGAAGAGGTTACTAGCCCCTTGCTCCCGGCATTTTAGTCGCCTCTTACAACACGCATGGCTTACGGAGGAAGAATTCTGTTCCACTTCCCCATGGAGATAAGAGGAAATAAATAAGAATAAGAACTAGAAAGAAAATAGAAAACCCAGTGTGTGTATATATGTGCTTGTACATGTATGTGTAGTGTGACCTAAGTGTAATAATAATGTAATATTATTAGTAACATGTGGCAGGCTCACATGCAGTATGTGGCAGGCTCACATGTGGTATGTGGCAGGCTCACTTGCAGTATGTTGTGAGTGCAACTGAAACAGAACCCTAATGGAGACATGGTCTAGTGAGCTACCACAAATATGGATTTCTCTTACCACATTGGCTCTCTCTCACCGAGGAAGGGTGACCCAAAAATAAAACCCATTCACTATCATTCATCGGATCACTCTCTTGCCAGTAGTGAGCTGACATCACAATTCCAATGAACCTCTGAACTGCTGGTCATGGGCCAGGCCTCAGAGGTGTTGACCCCCGGAACAACCTCCAGGTATCTTTACATTTCCTTCAGAGTTCAGGTACTGCTCTTCTCAAATCCAGGAATTGAGTATGGGTAACTGGTTTCCCTGGCTTCACTTTCTAATGGCACATCAAGCCAAAAAAACATTTGTCCCCACTCATTCTGGTTTAACATGCTCATTAAGCTTACTGGATGTTTACTGCTTATGCTCCTAGCCTCAAAGCCTCCATTACCTCCTCCTTCCAACCATTATTGGATTGGCCCCTTCCCCTCCTTTCTCCCACCCTTGATTTATACACTCTCTTCATCACTACTCTACTCCATCCTCTTTAAATAGCCAAACTACATCAATCCCTCCTGTATATAATTAACATGATGATAATACTAATAATAATAATTCTCCATGGGGGACTGGAGAAGAATCCTTCCTCCATAAGCCATGCCTATCATAAGAGGAGACTAAAATGTGCCTTTTAATTGGAGGGAGGGGGTAAAGGAGGTTTTGTGTGCAAGGGGCTTGGACATCCAGCACATTTGTGTGATCATGTTTGATAGGAGTGGAGGCAAGTGGTTTTTGAAACGATGTGCTGTTGGAATGTGAGCAAGGTCACATTTAGTGAAGGAATTCAAGGAAACCAGTCAGGTACTGGGCTGCAGGTGCACTGACCCCCGGAACACCGTCCAGATAGACTCCAGGTAGCTGGACTCGAGTTCTGAAGGTGGGAAGTACAGAGTCTGCACTCTAAAGGAGGGGTGCGGATATTTGCTGTTTGGAGGGACATCCGAACTATTGTATCTGTGTGCCTCTGGCAAGATAGTGATAGTTTGAATGATGATGAAAGTGTTTCTTTTTCAAGTCACCCTACCTCGGTGGGAGACGGCCAGTATGTTTAAGAAAAATTATTATTACTGATAATAATATGGAAGTCTATACATACAGGTACTGAAATATTTGGGAGTGGACAATTAACAGATGAGTATATGAAAGACAATGTGAACCACAGAATAGACTAGGGGGGAAAAAAAAAAAGGTGGATATTGCATTGAGGCATCTGTGGAAACAAAGAATTTCATCCATGGAGGTATATATATGGGAGTGAAGCATGTCAATCACTCAAAAGTCATCTGTATACAGAACTATATAGTAAGTCCTCACTTAACATCAATTTGTTATAACAATAAGAAAAAACTGCTTCCTAGCCAGAGCCACTGTCTGTGTGGAATTTGCATGTTCATTTTTAAACTGCCTGGTAGTGGAAGGTGCTCCTTACAATTTTAGTTTTGCAAACATGTATTCTTTGATTTAACCCTGTTGTAATTAGTGCTAAAGATGCATTGTGCACCCCTGATGTATACATTAATTAGCCTTTAAGAATAAGAAGTTTATTTTGACATGATACATGGTTGTAAAGAGGAATATAATAGTTGGGTTTACATGCCAAAAGCCCCTTTGTATGCAGAGCATTTTGGGCAAACCTTAAAATGAACTTAAGATTAATGAGGTAATAACAGTTCATATGGTCATTATATTATTATTATTATTATAATCAAAAAGAAGCGCTAAACCAGATCATTAGATGAGTTACTATGAGTACAAGAGAACAGAATATTCTATTAGGTAATGCTATATGGCTTTAATAAGTCTAGTGGAGAATAATTACACTGTTGAATTAGTTTATAAAGATTACAATTTAAAGCAATTTACAATATGATGTATTACAATTTAGTACTATTTGCAACTGAAATTTAGGCATCATAATTCTGAAGTAAGTGGTTGAGCAATCTTCAGCACAATATGTAGTAATGTAATTGAAACAATTTAGAGTTGAGAAGTCTTAAATTTTTATTTTTTTTTTTTTTTTTTTTGAGTAGCTTTTGAGCAACTAGTAGGTTTGAGGTACAGTTTGTCTGGTTAATTTGGGGTGATTTCTATGTAGGACCTTAAACTGATTTGCAAACAGGGGTCCTTTAGGGAGTTCTGGCATTGAATTCCAGATCTTCAGGCCCTTTACATGCATAGCATTTTTGCATATGGAGAGATGGATACGAGGGATATCGAAGAGTGATTTGTATCCCGTATTATGGCTGTATGTTCTGTTATAGTTATCAAGTAGTAGTCTGAGAGGAGGGTTTATATTTGAGTGTAGTGTTTTGTGTGTGTATTTGTTGTTTTAGGTTCACCGGTCTTGTCCTGGCCCAGGTCCTTTCCAGATGGTGACCCAGTGGTGTGCATGTAGTAGGCACAATAACAAGTGTGGATGTTTTGTATATTAAGCAAGTTAAGACTCTTGAAAAAGTGGTGGTGGTGTGTTGTCTAATGCAGGAGTTAGTAATCAATTGCACTGCAGATTTTTGCTGGGTTATTAAAGATTTAAGGTGATTTGCTGTGGTTGAGCCCCATGTACGAATACCATAGGTGAGGTAAGGGTAAATGAGAGTGGTACAGAGCAAGAAGAGCTGATTGGGGTACACGGTACTGTATCTTTGAAAGGATGCCTACTGTTTTGGAGACTTCCTTGGAAATTTTGTGTGTGTGTGTGTCTGAAATTTGATTATTATTATTATAATCAAAAAGAAGCGCTAAGCCACAAGGGCTATACAGCGTCTGAAATTTGAGACTACAGTCAAGGTGGATTATTATTATATTATTATTATAATCAAAAAGAAGCGCTAAGCCACAAGGGCTATACAGCGCTGCAGGGTAGGGAAGGAAGCAAGGGAATTGGATGGCAGGAGGGAGGGGGGATGATCAGCAGGTTACAGAAAACAGCGGGGCAGGGGATAGTACGGGGGTAGAGGGTAGCAAGAGATACAAGTAGAAAGGGCTGAAAGTATCAGAATTTGTGAAGTAAGTCAGTCGTTGTCAAAAAGTCAATAAGAGAGTCCGGATGAAAGGTGGGTCCATCAGCGAGAAGGGAAGGTAAAGAGAGAGCAGCGGGGCGAAGACGACGACAGAGGTAAATTCTGCGTGCTCGTTGATAAAGTGGGCAGTCCAACAGAATGTGGCTGACTGATAATGGAGCTTGGCAATTCTCACAGAGAGGAGCAAGACGCCTCTCCATGAGATATCCATGAGTAAGACGAGTATGGCCAATGCGAAGACGGGAGAGAGTAGTCTCCCAACCTCGACACTGGTGATAAGAAGACGGCCAGTAACCTATACTCGGTTTAATAGACTGAAGTTTGTTGCCGAGCATAGTAGACCAACGTTGTTGCCAACGGGTGTGAAGGTGGGAAGATATTACAGCAAAATAGTCCGTACATGGAATACCTCTGTAAGAAACTGGTAGGTCATGTACTGCTGACCGCGCA